TATGGCTAAGTGACTAAATACTAGTTTGAGAGTTTAGCAATGTGAATGCTTTTGTTTTGGCACAGTACATAGTTTCAGTATTGGAGTATCACAGGATTCATTATTTTAAGATTGAGATTAATATTTCTGTTTATGGTCAAATGGGTGAGTGAGTGTAAGTGTGAACCACCAGGTGGTATTCATGACAGTGGAATATATTTCCTCTTTTTTTCTGGGGGAGGGGGAGTTGTCCTACCTGTGGGAGATGGTAAGTGTATATAAATATGTATATGTATAGTAGCATAGAGGTTAGGTGTAGGGCAGGTAAGGTGTACAAAATGCTTAATGACATCACCTGACAGCTGTGTGCTGATGGCCTACAATCACTTTAGCTAAAACCAGGATACTGAAGCTCCTCATATTCTGAATTACTACCAATGTATTGTTAAGCCAGATGGCAGCAGATTCTAAAACAGTGTTTATTTAAATCTTCCTTGATAAGTCTGGCCTCATTCTAACTTATCAAGTGGCTTCATTCCACTTAATGAGGCAGATTGAGGTCAGACTTACCACATACTTTCCATATACCTTTCATATACACTTGAAGTGCTCTGAGTGTTTGCCTACTGCCTACTCTCAGCCCTGGGCCAAGTTTGTCTGTGCTTGCCTGATCAACCAGGCTGTTACTGCCAGGAGCCCACGGCTCATATGTTCATCACAGCCTGGATGATCTGGCACATGTACAGAACATTACACTGATCTACAAATTTTGAACAGTTTCACAATCAAAATTTGTAGATCGACTGGATAAAAGAAACTGTAAGTTCTTTTTTTGACATTTACACACTGTGGTTATAGGAAACTGCACACAAGGTTTAAACAATTATGCATTGAGATTTATATCAAGAACCTTTTCCCTGTACAGTTTCTTTACCCTCCTCCCTTCCCAGGTCAAAGATAACACTGGCCTGAATCCATATCTTTACAAATAGAGCCAGTTTGCAACTTTAAGTAGCATTTCCATTTTCAGTGACTCAAGAAGAGGGTTGGAATAGTTTTAAAAATGCAGTATTAGAATGTGGGGCAGAAGTTTGTGGTTATAGGAGGGTGGGGGCAGGTGGAAAGAGGAGTGATTGGTGGAATGATGAAGTAAAGGGTGTGATAAAAGAGAAAAAGTTAGCTTATGAGAGGTTTTTACAAAGCAGAAGTGTTATAAGAAAAGCAGAGTATATGGACAGTAAAAGAAAGGTGAAGAGAGTGGTGAGAGAGTGCAAAAGGAGAGCAGATGATAGAGTGGGAGAGGCACTGTAAAGAAATTTTAATGAAAATAAGAAAAAATTTTGGAGTTAAACAAGTTAAGAAAGCCTAGGGAAAGTATGGATTTGTCAGTTAAAAACAGAGTAGGGGAGTTAGTAGATGGGGAGAGGGAGGTATTAGGTAGATGGCGAGAATATTTTGAGGAACTTTTAAATGTTGAGGAAGAAAAGGAGGTGGTAATTTCATGCACTGGTCAGGGAGGTATACCATCTTTTAGGAGTGAAGAAGAGCAGAATGTAAGTGTGGGGGAGGTGCATGAGGCATTATGTAGAATGAAAGGGGGTAAAGCAGCTGGAACTGATGGAATCATGACAGAAATGTTAAAAGCAGGGGGGGATATAGTGTTAGAGTGGTTGTTACTTTTGTTTAATAAATGTATGAAAGAGGGTAAGGTACCTAGGGATTGGCAGAGAGCATGTATAGTCCCTTTATATAAAGGGAAAGGGGACAAAAGAGATTGTAAAAATTATAGAGGAATAAGTTTGAGTATACCAGGAAAAGTGTACGGTAGGGTTATAATTGAAAGAATTAGAGGTAAGACAGAATGTAGGATTGCGGATGAGCAAGGAGGTGTCAGAGTGGGTAGGGGATGTGTAGATCAAGTGTTTACATTGAAGCATATATGTGAACAGAATTTAGATAATGTAGGGAAGTTTTTATTGCATTTATGGATTTAGAAAAGGCATATGATAGAGTGGATAGGGGAGCAATGTGGCAGATGTTGCAAGTATATGGAATAGGTGGTAAGTTACTAAATGCTGTAAAGAGTTTTTATGAGGAGAGTGAGGCTCAGGTTAGGGTGTGTAGAAGAGAGGGAGACTACTTCCCGGTAAAAGTAGGTCTTAGACAGGGATGTGTAATGTCACCATGGTTGTTTAATATATTTATAGATGGGGTTGTAAAAGAAGTAAATGCTAGGGTGGTCGGGAGAGGGGTGGGATTTAATTATGGGGAATCAAATTCAAAATGGGAATTAACACAGTTACTTTTTGCTGATGATACTGTGCTTATGGGAGATTCCAAAGAAAAATTGCAAAGGTTAGTGGACAAGTTTGGGAATGTGTGTAAAGGTAGAAAGCTGAAAGTGAACACAGAAAAGAGTAAGGTGATGATGGTATCAAATGATTTAGATAAAGAAAAATTGAATATCAAATTGGGGAGGAGGAGTATGGAAGAAGTAAATGTTTTTCAGATACTTGGGAGTTGACGTGTCGGGGGATGGATTTATGAAGGATGAGGTTAATCATAGAATTGATGAGGGAAAAAAGGTGAGTGGTGCATTGAGGTATATGTGGAGTCAAAGAACGTTATCTATGGAGGCAAAGAAGGGAATGTATGAAAGTATAGTAGTACCAACACTCTTATATGGGTGTGAAGCTTGGGTGGTAAATGCAGCAGCGAGGAGACGGTTGGAGGCAGTGGAGATGTCCTGTTTAAGGGAAATGTGTGATGTAAATATTATGCAGAAAATTCGGAGTGTGGAAATTAGGAAAAGGTGTGGAGTTAATAAAAGTATTAGTCAGAGGGCAGAAGAGGGGTTGTTGAGGTGGTTTGGTCATTTAGAGAGAATTGATCAAAGTAGAACGACATGGAAAGCATATAAATCTATAGGGGAAGGAAGGAGAGGTAGGGGTTGTCCTAGAAAGGGTTGGAGAGAGGGGGTAAATGAGGTTTTGTGGGCAAGGGGCTTGGACTTCCAGCAAGCGTGCGTGAGCGTGTTAGATAGGAGTGAATGGAGACGAATGGTACTTGGGACCTGACGATCTGTTGGAGTGTGAGCAGGGTAATATTTAGTGAAGGGATTCAGGGAAACCGGTTATTTTCATATAGTCGGACTTGAGTCCTGGAAATGGGAAGTACAATGCCTGCACTGTAAAGGAGGGGTTTGGGATATTGGCAGTTTGGAGGGATATGTTGTGTATCTTTATATGTATATGCTTCTAAACTGTTGTATTCTGAGCACCTCTGCAAAAACAGTGATTATGTGTGTGTGGTGAAAGTGTTGAATGATGATGAAAGCATTTTCTTTTTGGGGATTTTCTTTCTTTTTTGGGTCACCCTGCCTCGGTGGAATACGGCCAACTTGGAAAAAAACAATTCAAAACATTTTCACTGTACATGTAGACCAGTGTAATCAGGTATCTATCAGGGCCCGGTAGCTAAAGCTCCCGTTTCACACACGAAGGGCCCAGGTTCAATTCCCGGCGGGTGGAAACATTTCGACACGTTTCCTTACACCTGTTGTCCTGTTCACCTAGCAGTAAATAGGTACCTGGGTGTTAGTCGACTGGTGTGGGTCGCATCCTGGGGGACAAGATTGAGGACCCCAATGGAAGTAAGTTAGACAGTCCTCGATGACACACTGATTTTCTTGGGTTATCCTGGGTGGCTAACCCTCCAGGGTTAAAAATCCGAAAGAAATCTTATCTATTCCAGAGTACTTTCCAGTACCTTAGATGTTTTATTGATTACATGTAGGCCATAAATATTCTTTGCACATTTTCCAGCTCTGAAATCTTGCATTGAAGGCAGAGAGTACACAACTTTTAAACCTTGTAATTCCTTCTTTTTTTTTTTTTTTTAGTTTTATAACTGTTCTTTCAATATTATCCCTCTCCTCATTTCTCATTCTCTCAGATATGGGGACAGAAGCTGTGACTTGACCCCTACAACCATAATTAGGCAAGTACACTCTACTAAATTCACTTAACTTCTTTGCATTTAACCCGTAAACGGTCCAAGCAGATCTACGTTTACATGTGTAGTGCTACAAAAGTAGATGTACGTTTTTTACCTATTTTCAAATATAACAAAAAAAAAAGTAGATCAAAGTTTTTTACACATTTTCAAATGTAGAAAAACAAAAAGATCTACTTTTTTACATACTTTCAAATGTTGAAAAAACGTATATACATGTATACATTTGGACCAGGTTAAACACTCCTACCACTTTCAACTTTATTCCATGATGATAGAAAATCTAGCTTACAGTACATTCATTACCAATCGCTTCTTTCCTAACATTCATAATTCATCCACACACATTCAAACAACCCAACCTCAAAATTTCCTACTTTTACATTTTAGTAATTACTTACATAAAAAGAGGTAATCAGCCCTTTGTTTCTGGAATATTAGTTACCTTTGACAAAACTACTGGGAGGGAATTCTAACCCACTTTCCCAGGGAAATGAAAAGGAAACTTTGCAGAACAAGAACTACGTACGTATTACAAAACATAAAAAAAAGAAAAGCTAGTGTATACCGAATGTAAACTAGTTTGTTAGGATGACGTCATGAGAAAAAAAACAGCAAACCTGACCGCAAATTATTTAACAGGTTTCCATTTCACACTCGTATAACAGGATGGTAATATTGTACCATACCTCCTTATATGGCTGCTGTCTATCAGCCCACTACCTACTACAGTTATGATCGCAACTCAGGTAAATGAAATACAGTGGACCCCCGGTTAACGATATTTTTTCACTCCAGAAGTATGTTCAGGTGCCAGTACTGACCGAATTTGTTCCCATAAGGAATATTGTGAAGTAGATTAGTCCATTTCAGACCCCCAAACATACACGTACAAACGCACTTACATAAATACACTTACATAATTGGTCGCATTCGGAGGTGATCGTTATGCGGGGGTCCACTGTACATCACACTCAAAATCAAAACTTTAAACAAGAGTTACCTACCACAGGAAACCACAGTATGTGAACGTCCACATGCTATGTGTAGTGCTTTCTCAGGTTTGAGGGCTGAAAAATTTAAAATGAATAAATTATAATTTTACAATACACACTGGGGTCAAAGAAACTGTCAATAGTTACCTATACAGGGGTATATGAGGCGAATATAATTTCTACATGGTGTACAGTATTTCATATCTTTACCATTCCTAGGCAAACCAAAATTTATGGATCAACTCTATCCTGGATAAGTGAACAAAACTGCAATGTTTGAACATTTAATCAACAAAATGAAAAATTGTGGAAGCCTTTGATAAGAGGAGTGATATAAAGTCAAATAATGTCTAGGTACTGTATAAGCATAATACAGTAATATTTTTTGCTATTATTAACACATCAACCGTTTCCCACCAAGGCAGGGTGGTCCGAAAAAGAATAACTTTCATTATCATTCACTCCATCACTGTCTTGCCAGAGCTGCACTTACACTACAGTTATAAAGCTGCAACGTACCTTTACCTTTGATATACCTTTGAAGAGTTTCGAGAATTTATCTACTCTCTGAGCCTGGCCTTGGGCCAGGCTCATCTGGTGCCTGCCTGGTCAACCAGGTTGTTGCTGCTGGAGGCCCGCTGCCCCACATATCCATCACAGTCTGGTTGATCTGGCACCTGGTGAAGATACTTGTCCAGTTTCCTGTAGAATGCTTCTACACTTGTTCCAGCCATGTTTCTGATATCTGGTAGGATGTTGAATAGTCTGGGACCCTGGATGTTGATACAGCGTTCCCTTATTGTCCCCACCGCACCCCTGCTCCTCACTGGGTTTATTTTACACTTCCTCCCGTATCTCTCACTCCAGTATGTTATGGCAGTGTGCAGATTTGGGACCAGGCCCTCAAGTATTTTCTAGGTATACATTATCATGTATCTCTCTCTCCTCCTCTCCAATGAATACACGTTCAAGGCTTGCAGGTATTCCCAGTAGTTTAGGTGCTTTACAGGCTCAATGTGAGCCATAAACGATCTCTGTATCTGCTCCAGCTCCAATATTTCTCCTGCTGTGAACAAGGCCATCAGCATTGAGCAATATTCTAAGCGAGGGAGCACTAGCGATTTGAAGAGTGTCACCATCGGCATTATTTCCACTGTTTTGAAAGTTATCAATACCCACCCCATCATCTTCCTGGTTGTCGTGATCTTTGTCTTGTTATGGTCTTTAAAATAAAGGTCCGCTGACATACAGTGGAACCTCAAATTTCGAACTTAATCTGTTCCAGAAGCTAGTTCTAAAGTCGAAAAGTTTGAAAGGCAAAGCAATATTTCCCATTAGAAACAATGGAAATACAATTAATCCGTTCCAGAAACCCAAAAATATTCACAAAAAAATACATTTTATAGATAGTATTACATTACAGTTTTGCATACACAACAAATATAGTGTACAATTATTAATAAATTTAAATAAACATATAAAATAACATTTTTACTTACCTTTACTGAAGATTGGTGATGGCATCTGGAAGATAGGGAGGAGGAGAGAGGGAGTTGGGGTTAGTGTTTGGAAGGGAAATCCCCCTCCATAAGGATTTTAGGTATCCAAGTCCTCTCTGGGGTTACTTCCCTTCTCTGTCTTTTAATGCCACTAAGACCAGCTTGAGAGTCACTGGACCCCTGTTCCACAAAATAACTGTCCACAGTCCTCTGTTTCTGGCACCTCTAAGATTTCCCTAAAATGGGACATGGTTCTGTCACTGAACTTGTTACAAAGATGGCTTGTTTCAGCTTGCTCAGGGTGGTACTTCTCCACAAACATTTGGACATCATTCCATTTGGCGCAAATCTCCTTAATCTTTGAATCGGCATGAGACTTCCTTGCCTTTTCACAAGAAATCATCGCTGAAACACTATCACCTGCCATCTCTTTATCCTTGATCCACACCAGCAGCAACTTCTCAACTTGACTGATTGTCTGTGGTCTTTTTTTGGTTAGCATATCAACACCTTTCACAACATCAGCTTCCTTGATTTGTTCTTTCTTTGCCAGGATAGAAGCGATGGTCGACTTGTTTTTCCCGTACATCCTGGCAAGCCCAACAAATCACACACCACTCTCATACTTATGTATTATTTCCTTCTTCACATCTGTGGTGTTTCTCACTTTTTTTACCACAGGGGTACCACTAGCAAGTTTCTTTGGGCCCATGGTAGCTTATTTCATAGTTCCACAAGCACTAAACACAACGAAATAATCGTAAAATGTTTGAACGAGACCACTGGTTAGTGTTCACTTAAGCATCAACAAAGCCAGACTGGCTCATGGTGCCTGCGCGGGGACATGGACAGAGCGGGCTGGCGGACAGGTTCGGTACCTGGCGGTTCAAAAGAAGGGGCAAGTTCGATAATAGGGACAAAGTTGGTTCGAAAAAAGCAGTTGAAAGGCGAAGAGTTCGATAAGCGATACGTTCGAAATTTGAGGTTCTACTGTAATTATTCCTAGGTCATTTACATGTTCCTTACATTCTATTTGGTGACCCTCTTGAGTTTTGTATATAGTGTTCCTTTTGAGTTCTTCATTCTTTCCATACCTAAGCAGCTGGAATTTATCACCATTGAACATCATGTTGTTCTCCACTGCCCACTGGAAAACCCTGTTTATGTCTTCCTGTACTTTTTCAGTGTCCTCTACCGTGGTGACTTTCATGCTTATTTTAGTGTCATTTGCAAATGATTATACAAAAGTGTGCGGGGTGTTTTTTGTCTGTCTGCTATGAGGATGAGAAACAGCAGAGGTGCCAGGACAGTGCCTTGGGGCACTGAGTTTTTGACCTCGCTGATGCTGGATCTTGCCCTGTTCACTACTACTTTTTTTCTGTGTTAGGAAACCAAAAATCCATCTGCCGACCTTCCCCATAATGTCCATGTCTTTCATTCTATACGCTATCATTCCATGATCGCATTTGTCAAACGCCTTTGCAAAATCTGTGTAAATCACATCTGCATTTTGGCTGTCTTCCAATGCCTCCGTAATTTTGTCATAATGGTTCAGCAGCTGTGACAGACATGATCATCCTGCTCTAAAACCATGCTGGTTCAGGTTATGTTGGTTGTGCTGCTCCATGAAATTTGTAATCTGCCATCTCATCACTCTTTCGAAGATTTTTATGATGTGCCAGGTTAGGGCTACTGGTCTGTAATTTTTAGCTAGTGCTCTACTACCTCCCTTATGCAAAGGAACTATGTCTGCACTCTTTAAGGCCTCTGGTATTTCACCTAGAACTAAGCCCTTTCTCCAAAGAACACTGTGGGCTCGTGCTAGTGGTACTTTGCACTTCTTCATAAACAGAGCATTCCATGAATCTGGTCCAGGTGCTGAGTGAGTGGGCACATTTTCCATTTCCTTTTTGAAAATTATGGGATTTGTACTAATGTCACTTAGTTGGTCTGCATGGCCTTCTTCTGAAGTGAAAAATATTTCTGCATTTTCTACCTTGCTGTCATTTAGTGGGTTGCTGAACACCGACTCATACTGTTCTTTTAGGATTTCACTCATTTCCTGTTCATCGTCAGTATACGAGTCTCCTCTCAGTAGTGGTCCAATTCTACAGGTAGTTCTTAGCTTGGATTTTACATAAGAATAGATATATTTTGTGTTTCTTGCACTATCCTGTATGGCCCTTTGTTCCCTTTGTACTTCTTCTGTGAGGTATGAGGTGTAACACCCCTTCATCAACACCTCTCATTAATGAACCTTTCATTGGCAGATTTCAGCAATTTCAAACAAAAAAAATTGGCTAGACAAATGTTGGAAGCATTGGACAAAATGGACAAGTCTGAAATTCCACATTTTTGTTTGCAGCGATGGTGTAAGGTTGTCTCAAGTATCAGACCAAGCTCGATGGCTCAGACAATTGTTCAGTACAGGCCAGAGAAACCACTTCCAGGCCATCTGTTTTCATTCCCCCACCCCCAAGTCACAGGCCACCCATGCCAGTTTGTTGTTAGTGCTCACTCAAACAAACATGTCATTCAGTGTCGCATTTTCCCTGGACTTAAGAGCATTTTGTGACATTAACATACTAACTAAAGTACAATTAACAGTGAGTTCTAAAGCAAGCGTTGGTGCAAAGAGGAAACATGTGGTCCTCAAAGTTAAGAAGAAATGAACTAATAAAAGTAGAGTCTGGCCTCTCAATGACAAGTACATGAGGAATATGGTTTTAAGAAACTGTCTGGTATGCATAAAAGCATGTAGTGTCAAAAGCAATGGTAATGAAAAGGTTACAGAGAGATCTCTCACAAAACTTCTGTAACCTTCTCACTACCATTGCTTTTGACACTGCTTGCTTTAATTTGACAATTCATTCTACTAAACTACATCACAGACTATGCTCTTAAGTTTAATGTAGATGTTCAGCTCAGACTCAGAAAGAAAGTTATTCAGAGACCACTATCACTCACAGCTGTTTACACGTCATCCTTCCACCACAAAAACACAAGTAAAATTGCTGGGTATCAAGTACAGAAGTAAAATTACTGTAAATCACATACAGTAAGTACTATAAAATTACTATACATTACAGCACTTTGGGTTACAATACCCGTATTTTTAGTATCCAGTTGTCTTCTGCATCAGCAGACCATATCAGCTAGTTCAGAAGACAATCACATCAAGAAAAATTAGTATCATAATTCGGAAGTTTCAGACAATTGGTAATGTCATACACTCCCAACCTCCCTATTTGTCTGTTAATAAAAGGGTTCAAGGTACTAAGATGAGAAACCACATTGTAAAAAAAATGAAATGCAGTTAAGAGATTTGTATATTTCAGCCGGAGTCAGACATTCTTCAGGAGGAGACCATTTGCTGGAAAGGATCCCAGACCAAAACTAAAACATACATATCTCTTTTTACCTTCGTTTCATTTTAAGCCAAATGGTGTCTTACCTTTTATTGGTCAGAAGAGGGGTTGTTGAGGTGGTTTGGTCATTTAGAGAGAATGGATCAAAGTAGAATGACATGGAAAGCTTATAAATCTATAGGGGAAGGAAAGAGGGGTAGGGGTCGTCCTCGAAAGGGTTGGAAAGAGGGGGTAAAGGAGGTTTTGTGGGCGAGGGGCTTGGACTTCCAGCAAGCGTGCATGAGCGTGTTAGATAGGAGTGAATGGAGACGAATGATACTTGGGACCTGACGATCTGTTGGAGTGTGAGCAGGGTAATATTTAGTGAAGGGATTCAGGGAAACCGGTTATTTTCATATAGTCGGACTTGAGTCCTGGAAATGGGAAGTACAATGCCTGCACTTTAAAGGAGGGGTTTGGGATATTGGCAGTTTGGAGGGATATGTTGTGTATCTCTATACGTATATGCTTCTAAACTGTTGTATTCTGAGCACCTCTGCAAAAGCAGTGATAATGTGTGAGTGTGGTGAAAGTGTTGAATGATGATGAAAGTATTTTCTTTTTGGGGATTTTCTTTCTTTTTTTGGGTCACCCTGCCTCGGTGGGAGACGACCAACTTGTTGAAAAAAAAAAAAAAAATACTGTAAGAACAAAACAGATGAAAATATTAATAACAAAATTATTGAAGTTTTCTGTACCTTCTGTCAGGATCCAAAAGAATGCTGCTCAGAAGGAAACATACTGAAAAGACAGAAGTTTAACTTACATTTTACACATGATGGTTTGTTGACAGGTTTGGTGGAGCCAAGACCTAGCTGTCCCATATCATTACTACCAATCATAAATACCCGACCGCTTTCTGAAAGAGAGATGAATGAAAGGCAAATTTTCACTTTAATGTACTCATACTAAGCAAACATTCTGAAAAAGCTGTAACTTAAACATCACTGAGAACTAAATTAACATGTAATGCTGTTTAAAACAGAGGGTGATATAAATTTAACAAATGTGCCATGAAAAAACAACTGCATTCTGAACTGTTTTAACTGAAATATTAAAAAAAAAACTGTCTGCATAATATATACTACTGTATAGTGAACATGCTATTCATTCACTCAAACAACAAACAGTAGTTTGAAGAGCCCTTACTACTGTTGCACATACAGTACAGTACAACTACAACCATGATTCAATTGATTTCTTTATTTCCTAATTGTGACTACAATATTTTACCTATTACTATTTACAGCCACAGAGCTATGCTTGTGAAATCCTGAACGTTTTGATTTGTCTTGCATATTTTTTTTTTAAATTTTCAAGCGACTGCAGCTACTGCTACAAACAATAAATGAACTATATACTGACCATAAGGGTAATAAACTCTAGTTACCCACATTCAATGGTAGAGAAATAACATGAATATTTTGTCGACTTAGACACTCCTCGGCACCTGTGGAGAGTCTCTAGCTAAACCAGATGTACAGTACTGGCATTAGTTCTATATTGTTGAATGTCAGTTACTCAAATCTATATTTCTAATTTGTCTAATAATGAAACACCTGTTGCTTAAGGTTTACTTCAAAAGCTGTGTTTGCTTTTGCTATGGGTTTTCCAAAAAGTACTGTTGCTTATAATATGCCCAAATAAGTAGAGCAATGTAATACTAGATGAAACGGTATATATATATACATATTGCCAACAAGTACAAAGACTTAGTATGCGGCTTTATCAAGTCATGACTTGATAAAGCTCAAAACAACAAAACACTGTCCCAAAAGCTTGTTCTAGAACCTGCGTCTGCCTTCAAATTAAATGTAACACAGCCTCTCCTCACTTAATGACAGAGTTCCGTTCCTAAGACCACATCAGTAAACGAATTCATCGGTAAGTGAGGAGCATACTATAATGGTAGTGGGTTTGTGTCAACCATTTTTGATATTGGTTTAATGTCACCTTTGCACCATTAATAACATTTCTGGTATATTTTTAAATGTTTATACAGTAGTGTACTGTATATTGTAATAAACAGAATAGAGGAAATCAGCTCTAATATACTTCATATAAGTATGCATACTGGTCAGAGAGCCCATCGTAAGTCTGTGTCATCGGTAAACGAGTACATACGTCACTAAGCGAGTAGAGGCTGTAATGTATTTTTCCTGAATGAAACAGTTAGTACACACCTGTAACAACACCAGTATGCTCATCGCCACATGCCAGTTCTGTGATTATATCATTTTTAATCCAAAACTTTGAGGGGGCATTATTGGCAAACCTGCTCTTGCCAAAAGTAAAGACAGCTCCAGTATCTGGAAAAAAAAAAAAAAAAAAAAAAAAAAAAAAAAACTTGAATTTAAATTTAAATTAGAACTATGACAATGGTTCCTCAGCAAATTTCAGCCATCAATTATAGTTTCATGTGTACAACATCAAGTATATTTTACAAATAAGACATTCTGTAGTGAAATGGTAAAAACAACCTAATGAAACCCACATATTCCAACCTAAAATAATTTAATCTTACTTCACCATCAGCACATATGCATCTTTATTTACGTTCTACCAGATGCAAGACTTAGCTCAATATTACATTAAGAAATAACTAGTTCAAATGTGCTGTGCAACCAAAATAAGTGTATATTATTTTTGTCAGTACAGTATCTCCAAAATTAACAGTTTTCACAAGAAATACTTATTTTGTAATGTACATAGTTTTTGTGTTTTTTTTTTTTTTTCAACAATTCAGCCATCTCCCACCTATGCAGGGTGACCCAAAAAGAAAAAATCCCCAAAACAAAAATACTTTCATCATCATTCAACACTTTCACCTCACTCACACATAATCACTGTTGTTGCAGAAGTGCCCAGATACAACAGTTTAGAAGCATATATAAAGATACAATATAAAAAGTGACCTGTATTGTATGTATTGTAAAATGTAAACTAATGTCAAGTATTACACAGTCCTAAACTATATATAACAATAAATTATTATATTCATGGGCAGTGCTAAACACTGAGGGCCTCACTCAGCACTTGGGGAATGGAAGGTAACAAAGTTTGATCAAATGGGAAAGTTTGCTATAAATTCTTGTCATCAAGTGCCCTTTACTAACATTGAGGCACCTTCCTTGAAGGGCTCTGTGAAGCAATTAAACAAATTATTTGGTAACATGCAAAATGGCTCAAACATCACATGGACAAAATTCTTGCCTTTGGACAGCGAGGATTCAACAGAAGTCCACAGTTGATTTGCCTTATTATTACTACTATATATTAAAATCAAGGGCTAAACCTGCAAGTCATACAGCTGTTTTATCTTCTAAAAGCAAGAATGGATCAATATGTGTCAAAATGCATTACCCCTTCAGCCTTCCAGTACTGGGGAAATGGCTCCTTAATGTTTCTTTAACATCAGGTGAAACTTTAAATGTTAATTATTAACAATTATGAGTGTTACAAAATTAATATATTAGTTACATAAAAATCAGTTAACTGTTTATGAATATATTAGTTACACATTTCCTTTATTTTTATTAGCATTAAAGAACAAAATACAAAAATTAATACAGCTGTACATCAGTTACATTGATAGCAGTTTTTATTTTTTTTATTATCACACTGGCCGATTCCCACCAAGGCAGGGTGGCCCGAAAAAGAAAAACTTTCACCATCATTCACTCCATCACTGTCTTGCCAGAAGGGTGCTTTACACTACAGTTTTAAACTGCAACATTAACACCCCTCCTTCAGAGTGCAGGCACTGTACTTCCCATCTCCAGGACTCAAGTCCGGCCTGCCGGTTTCCCTGAATCCCTTCATAAATGTTACTACTAATAATACAGTGGAACCTCGACTTACGAGTGCCCCAACATAAGAGTTTTTTGAGGTATGAGCCATCACTCGGTCAATTTTTTGCTCTGAGTTACGAGCCAAATCCGAGTTATGAGCGAGCTTCAGAACACAGCAACTAGTTGGCGCAGCAAATGCCACAACATCCACTCAGCAGTACACGTTTACCTCACTGTGGAAGCATTTCTCGTGTTGTGCTTGCATTTTGTGCAGTTATTTTGCCAAATATCTTTTTTCTAACCATGGGTCCTAAGAAAGTAAGTGCAAAGGACAGTGCCGAGAAGAAAAAGAGGACGATGTCCACTGAATTAAAGCATGAAATCATAGATAAACATGAGCGAGGTGTGCGGGTTGTGGACTTGGCCAGGCAGTAGTACCAGCGTAGCACTTCTATGATATGTACGATACTAAAGCAGGAGTCGATAAAGGCTATAGTGCCAGCCAAGGACTTTACAATTATTTCTAAGTTGCAGACCTCTGTCCATGAAAAGATGGAGAAGCTGTTGATGTGGTTGACGGAGAAGCAGCTCGCAGGAGATACCGTGACTGAGGGTATCCTCTGCGAGAAGGCACGAGGCATTTACACTGATTTGCTGCAGGAGACCCCAGGCACTTCAACAGATGAAGCATTGGAAAAATCGTTTAAAGCCAGTCGGGGCTGGTTTGACAATTATAAAAGGAAGACTGGTATTCACTGTGTCATCAGGCATGGTGAAGGACCGAGCTCTGATGTGAAAGCAGCTGAGGATTACCTCAAAACTTTTGCAAAAGTGATAGCAGCTGAAGGATACATCCCCCAGCAAGTCTTCAACTGTGACGAGACAGGGCTCTTCTGGAAGATGCCAAGGACGACTTACATAAATGCAGAGAAGCTGCTGCAAGGCCACAAACCCATGAAGGATAGGTTAACACTCACACTGTGCACCAATGCGAGTGGCGACTGCAAGATCAAGCCACTGCTGGTATATCATTCGGAAAACCCCAGAGCCGTTAAGTCACACAAGATTCTAAAAGAAAAACTGCACGTTATGTGGAAGGCAAACCCGAAGGCGTAGGTCACCAGGCAGTTCTTCATGGAGTGGGTAAACCTGGTCTTTGGTCCTGCCAGTAAGAAGTATCTCCAGGAAAATAACCTGCCCCTGCAAGCCATTCTCATCCTGGACAAAGCACCTACTCACCCACAGAACCTTGAAGATGACATCCTTGAAGAGTTCAAGTTTATAAAGGTTCTCTACCTTCCACCCAACACCACCCCTATCCTGCAGCCCATGGACCAGCAGGTGATTTCTAATTTCAAGCTCTTCACTAAGCACCTGTTCTGCCGCTGCTTTGACATGACAGAGCACAAACTTGACCCTTTGAGAGTTCTGGAAGAACCACTATAACATCATGATATGCCTCAGAATTATAGATATGGCCTGGCAGGGTGTTACAAGGAGGACCTTGACCTGTGTGGAAGAAGCTGTGGCCTGAGGTTGTGTCCAAAAGGGACTTCGAAGGATTTGAACCCGAAGAGGCAGTGGTAGAGGAGATTGTGTCCCTCGGAAAGTCCATGGGCATGGAGGCGGATGAAGATCTAAATGAGATCGAGGAGCACTCCAAGGAGTTGACGACAGAGGAGTTAGATGAATGACATATGCAGCAGCACATGTAGGTTTTGCAAGAAATTCATACCATGGAGGAGCCAGATGTGAAGGGAGTTATCTCTACAAGTGAGATACACTGTAAAGGAAATGTTGGGAATCTTGGAGAGACTTTGAGTTTATTGAAAAGAAACACCCAGAGAAAGTTGCAACTGGTCATGCATCGGTGCTATTCAATGACACTTGCCTAACTCATTTCTGAAACATTTTGAAAGGGAGGATGAAACAAGCCTCCTTGGACAGGTTTTTATTGAAACTCCCTGCAGATGAAAGTGAGGAAAGCATGGAGAAAAAGGAAAAAATCAGTAAAAAGTGAAGTGAAACGAAATTAAAACAAACTGTAGCAATTAAATTCAGCAATAAAGTGTAGCATTAAGAGTGTAGCAAGTAGCCTATCTTTTCCACCCTCCACCATTTGTTCTCTAAGGTAAATACACACTCTTTATAAAACAGGTTTATTTCTCTACATTCTCTGTTATGTTTCATTATGTTTTTATACAATATTTCTTATTTATAAATACATTGTTTCAGTGTTTTCCTTATGAAACTAGTGATCTAGTGCAGTTAGCCCCACAAACACTCCGTTTTCAGAAGGGGAAGATATGGTCAGAGCAGAGCGGCCGCCACCACTTGTCACACGACATTTTATTTATTCTAGAGTATATATCATGTTTCTATGTTATTTATATTGTTTATTATGTCATACTAGATCAATTATGATAGATAAATAAGCCATAGAGTTTATATTAGCATTATACATGTGTATTAGGTTGGTTTCATAATGGACATTATGTTGTGCAAATACAAGAAACTAACTTAAGCATAATGAAACCCAATCAAAAATAACCTAACATAACACAGCCTTATTCCAACAGCAGGAGATGGGACTGATACACCTTATTTATATTACATTCATCTTTGTTTAGTCACTGTGATTGGCCACAAACATCAAGACTAACCAATGACTGGGTTATCCTAGGTAATTTACACATGTTACTTATGCATGATAATTTGTGTAACTGTATTAATGTGTACCAACCTAAATAAACTTACTGACAAATCCCCAAATAAATTATTTTTGCAAATACATCTAGTAAGTTTTTATTTAATATTTTTTACAATGGTCTTGAGGGCAAATAGGTGTTATTTACCTGGAGAGAGTTCCGGGGGTTAACGCCCCCATGGCCCGGTCTGTGACCAGGCCTCCTGGTGGATCAGAGCCTGATCAACCAGGCTATTACTGCTGGCTACACTCAATCTAACGTACGAGCCACAGCCCAGCTGGTCAGGTACCGACTCTAGGTGCTTGTCCAGTGCCAGCTTGAAGACTGCCAGGGATCTATTGGTAATCCCCCTTATGTGAAATTGCCGACCTAGAAAATGTACAGAGAACTTTCACGGCGCGCATAACGGAGATAAAACACCTCAATTACTGGGAGCGCTTGAGGTTTCTAAACCTGTATTCCCTGGAACGCAGGAGGGAGAGATACATGATTATATACACCTGGAAAATCCTAGAGGGACTAGTACCGAACTTGCACACGAAAATCACTCACTACGAAAGCAAAAGACTTGGCAGACGATGCACCATCCCCCCAATGAAAAGCAGGGGTGTCACTAGCACGTTAAGAGACCATACAATAAGTGTCAGGGGCCCGAGACTGTTCAACTGCCTCCCAGCACACATAAGGGGGATTACCAACAGACCCCTGGCAGTCTTCAAGCTGGCACTGGACAAGCACCTAAAGTCAGTTCCTGATCAGCCGGGCTGTGGCTCGTACGTTGGTTTGCGTGCAGCCAGCAGCAACAGCCTGGTTGATCAGGCTCTGATCCACCAGGAGGCCTGGTCACAGACCGGGCCGCGGGGGCGTTGACCCCCGAAACTCTCTCCAGGTAAACTCCAGGTATGTATGCTGGGAGGCAGTTGAACAGTCTCGGGGCCCCTGACACTTATTGTATTGTCTCTTAACGTGCTAGTGACACCCCTGCTTTTCATTAGGGGGATGTTGCATCGTCTGCCGAGTCTTTTGCTTTCGTCGAGTGATTTTCGCGTGCAAGTTCGGTACTAGTCCCTCTAGGATTTTTCAGGTGTATATAATCATGTATCTCTCCCTCCTGCGTTCCAGGGAGTACAGGTTCAGGAACTTCAAGCACTCCCAGTAATTGAGGTGTTTTATCTCCATTATGCGCACCATGAAGGTTCTCTGTACATTTTCTAGGTCAGCAATTTCACCTGCCTTGAAAGGTGCTGTTAGTGTGCAGCAATATTCCAGCCTAGATAGAACAAGCGACCTGAAGTGTGTCATCATGGGCTTGGCATCCCTAGTTTTGAAGGTTCTCATTATCCATCCTGTCATTTTTCTTGCATATGCGATTGATACAATGTTATGATCCTTGAAGGCGAGATCCTCCGACATGATCACTTCCAGGTCTTTGACGTTGGTTTTTCGCTCTATTTTGTGGCCGGAATTTGTTTTGTACTCTGATGAAGTTTTAATTTCCTCATGTTTACCATATCGGAGTAATTGAAATTTCTCATCGTTGAACTTCATATTGTTTTCTGCCCATAAAAAGTATGCTATGCACATTTAACACTGAATGTGGACTTCTAGCTCTGCCTCAAGCATCAGTGATGACTGATGAATTTCCCAATGTTTTCTTCCCAGACAGGACCCTCATCTTCATCACACAGCTCACTGGGATATTGGTCAGGGCACAATACATTAGCTCTTACAGGTTTACTTGGAATTTACCTGGAGAGGGTTTTGGGGGTCAATGCCCCTGTGGCTCGGTCTGAGACCAGGCCTCATGGTGGATCAGGGTATGATCAACCAGGCTGTTACTGTTGGCTGCACACAAGCTGACGTACGAACTACAGCCAGGTTGGTCAGGTACTGACTTTAGGTGCCTGTCCAGTGCCTTCTTAAAGACAGCCAGGGCTCTATTGGTAATACCCCTCATGTATGCTGGGAGGCAGTTGAACAGTCTTGGGCCCCAGACACTTATTGTGTTGTCTTTCAATGTACTTGTGGCACCCCTGCTTTTCATTGGGGGAATGTTGCATTTCCTGCCGAGTCTTTTGCTTTCATAGGGAGTGATTTTCGTGTGCAGGTTTGGTACCAATCCCTCCAGGACCTTCCAAGTGTATATTATCATATAGCTCACTCGTCTGCATTCCAGGGAATACAGATCAAGGTGTGGGGATAATTACAACTGGAATTACTGAAAGTGGCAGATAGAGAATGGCAACTGAAATTAAATCATGTTTGAAAATTGCTCACAATCAGTGTCCAGAATATCTTGCTGCAAATTTTGTTGTGGTAAGGAACCAAATCTAGTATTGTACTATGGAAAATGAACACAATTTTGTAATACCTACATTATGTGGTCAGGACTCGGACACCTTTTATTATACAGCAATAAAGAAGTGGAATGGATTGCCTGAGCATGTCAAGGCCAGTATTAGCAGGAAGAGAACTATAAGGTTCTAATGAATGAAGCTACATTAAGGCAGGAAAGTTATTTCTCATATAGTTAACATTTGTGCACCTATTACATTCAGATGATTTACTCTCTTTAATGTTCATGTAAACTACTTGGTTTATTTATCTCTAACGTATCTCAAAGTTTATTTAGGTACAAGTACACATAATTACAATTATCATACCTAGTAACATACATGTAACTTACCTAGGATAACCCAAAAAAAAAGTAGAGTGGTTAATTTCCATTTTAATTGATTTCATGCAGATTATTTTGTTAATTTTATCTGTATGGTTATAATTATGATTGATTTCAAGGGTATCTAAGAGCTAGGCAGCTAATAGTATATTACAAAGGCTTCAGTGGAAATCAATATTTTTTGGGGGGGTTAACCTAGGTAATTCACACACGTTACTTTGCAAGGCAGTTGTAATCTTCCAAAACTTAATTAAATGTGCCTGTGTGATTGTACCTAAATGAACTTAGGACTGGTGTGCGAGTATTATCATGGGGAGCGCTAAACCCGCAGGAATTATACAGCGCCTGTGTGTGGGGGGGGGTTGAAACGGAATAAGGCTGGATTTTGTTTCTGTTTCCTTTTTGTACGACGTTACCTCGGGATTACCTGGGGATTACCTGGAGTTTACCTGGGGTTTACCTGGAGTTTACCTGGGGTTTACCTGGCCAGATTTGGGTAAAATCTTCACTAGACTTCCGGAAGCAGGACTCACACACGTGACTTCACAAAACTTCAACGTCAATCATCAACTTTGGCTACCCCAAATCAAACATGAATTACTTCAATTGGAGTCCCTGAATATTGTCAGGGGCAATACATCCATCTGGCCACCCATGCTCACACACACCACCATTATATCTCCAAGCATCACAAACATAAAAACAATCACAATGCTGGAAGCTGTCAAAGAGACACCAAAAAAAAAAAAAAAAAAAAGGAATGTTCACCTGGAATGTCGAAGTCTGCGTCAACTGCCATGTCTGAGTGAGGACTGAAGAGTTCCAGGTCAGGGAGGGATCAATGTGCTGCTGCTGCTGCTGCTGCTCCACCACATATCACTCATTATAACTCATTAACCAACAATTATGGACAATTTTTGCGTGTTTGTTGGTAATAACCATAAATACTGAACCTTCATGATCAGAGTCAAAATTCTCAGACGTGTCTGAGGCAAGAACTGTCAATCCAGTACAAATAAGCCTTTTTTTACAATGGTCTTTAGGGCACAAAGGTATTATGGACACACATGTACAGTACATAATGTAACTTTCCGGTCGAGTCCTTGAATTAACCGGCTTATCATAGCTCTGCATAATGGGGAGCGCTAAACCCGTAGAGAATATACAGCGCCTGTGGGAGGGGGGGCTGGAGGCAATCAGGCTTAATTCAAGGAACTGGGGTAGATCCACTTCCCCAGATCAAGAGCCCCTGATAAGCATCAAGGAACCTCCCATGAGTGGTTCACCTGCATAAGCCCGTGTATAACTAATCATCCTGCATAATTGCTATGTTAGATAATCATTGCTAACTCATTCTAACATTATATAGACGAGAGTGGCCACACAATGCGGTATATCTACCACGATTGTGATTTGTTAATCTTTCCGAGTGATTAACTTAAGTGGTTGTATCATTAGGTAATTATGTAAATTGTTATTACTATGATAGCCTTGCTGCAGATGGAGGTTGGAGGTTATATTTTAATACTGACAGGAGGAGGTTACCGAAGGTTGGTATAACCAATATTTTGTAAGGTTGAGGTATTACCAATAGACCCCTGACTGTCTTCAAGACCCCTGTCTGTCTTCAAGACCCCTGACTGTCTTCAAGATCCCTGGTTGTCTTCAAGACCCCTGGCTGTCTTCAAGATCCCTGGTTGTCTTCAAGACCCCTGACTGTCTTCAAGACCCCTGTTTGTCTTCAAGACCCCTGACTGTCTTCAAGATCCCTGGTTGTCTTCAAGACCCCTGGCTGTCTTCAAGATCCCTGGTTGTCTTCAAGACCCCTGGCTGTCTTCAAGATCCCTGGTTGTCTTCAAGACCCCTGACTGTCTTCAAGACCCCTGGCTGTCTTCAAGATCCCTGGTTGTCTTCAAGACCCCTGACTGTCTTCAAGACCCCTGGCTGTCTTCAAGATCCCTGGTTGTCTTCAAGACCCCTGGCTGTCTTCAAGACCCCTGTCTGTCTTCAAGACCCCTGGCTGTCTTCAAGACCCCTGTCTGTCTTCAAGACCCCTGGCTGTCTTCAAGATCCCTGGTTGTCTTCAAGACCCCTGGCTGTCTTCAAGATCCCTGGTTGTCTTCAAGACCCCTGACTGTCTTCAAGACCCCTGGCTGTCTTCAAGACCCCTGGTTGTCTTCAAGACCCCTGTCTTCAAGACCCCTGGCTGTCTTCAAGACCCCTGGTTGTCTTCAAGACCCCTGGCTGTCTTCAAGACCCCTGTCTTCAAGACCCCTGGCTGTCTTCAAGACCCCTGTCTGTCTTCAAGACCCCTGGTTGTCTTCAAGACCCCTGACTGTCTTCAAGACCCCTGGCTGTCTTCAAGACCCCTGTCTGTCTTCAAGACCCCTGGCTGTCTTCAAGACCCGTGTCTGCAAGACCCCTGGCTGTCTTCAAGATCCCTGGTTGTCTTCAAGACCCCTGGCTGTCTTCAATATCCCTGGTTGTCTTCAAGACCCCTGACTGTCTTCAAGACCCCTGGCTGTCTTCAAGATCCCTGGTTGTCTTCAAGACCCCTGACTGTCTTCAAGACCCCTGGCTGTCTTCAAGACCCCTGGTTGTCTTCAAGACCCCTGGCTGTCTTCAAGACCCCTGGCTGTCTTCAAGACCCCTGTCTGTCTTCAAGACCCCTGGTTGTCTTCAAGACCCCTGACTGTCTTCAAGACCCCTGACTGTCTTCAAGATCCCTGGTTGTCTTCAAGACCCCTGGCTGTCTTCAAGATCCCTGGTTGTCTTCAAGACCCCTGACTGTCTTCAAGACCCCTGTCTGTCTTCAAGACCCCTGACTGTCTTCAAGATCCCTGGTTGTCTTCAAGACCCCTGGCTGTCTTCAAGATCCCTGGTTGTCTTCAAGACCCCTGGCTGTCTTCAAGATCCCTGGTTGTCTTCAAGACCCCTGACTGTCTTCAAGACCCCTGGCTGTCTTCAAGATCCCTGGTTGTCTTCAAGACCCCTGACTGTCTTCAAGACCCCTGGCTGTCTTCAAGATCCCTGGTTGTCTTCAAGACCCCTGGCTGTCTTCAAGACCCCTGTCTGTCTTCAAGACCCCTGTCTGTCTTCAAGACCCCTGGCTGTCTTCAAGATCCCTGGTTGTCTTCAAGACCCTGGCTGTCTTCAAGATCCCTGGTTGTCTTCAAGACCCCTGACTGTCTTCAAGACCCCTGGCTGTCTTCAAGATCCCTGGTTGTCTTCAAGACCCCTGTCTTCAAGACCCCTGGCTGTCTTCAAGACCCCTGGTTGTCTTCAAGACCCCTGGCTGTCTTCAAGACCCCTGTCTTCAAGACCCCTGGCTGTCTTCAAGACCCCTGTCTGTCTTCAAGACCCCTGGTTGTCTTCAAGACCCCTGACTGTCTTCAAGACCCCTGGCTGTCTTCAAGACCCCTGTCTGTCTTCAAGACCCCTGGCTGTCTTCAAGACCCGTGTCTGCAAGACCCCTGGCTGTCTTCAAGATCCCTGGTTGTCTTCAAGACCCCTGGCTGTCTTCAATATCCCTGGTTGTCTTCAAGACCCCTGACTGTCTTCAAGACCCCTGGCTGTCTTCAAGATCCCTGGTTGTCTTCAAGACCCCTGACTGTCTTCAAGACCCCTGGCTGTCTTCAAGACCCCTGGTTGTCTTCAAGACCCCTGGCTGTCTTCAAGACCCCTGTCTTCAAGACCCCTGGCTGTCTTCAAGACCCCTGTCTGTCTTCAAGACCCCTGGTTGTCTTCAAGACCCCTGACTGTCTTCAAGACCCCTGACTGTCTTCAAGACCCCTGTCTTCAAGATCCCTGGTTGTCTTCAAGACCCCTGGTTGTCTTCAAGACCCCTGGTTGATCAGAATAGCTCAAGTTCCTTGGATCAAGTCTTTTACCAACATCAAGGCACTCCCTTCCCCTCGTAGGGTCAAGTATTTGAAGAATGTATTATAACTATGGGTGAATGACTGGAGTGGTATTCAAGAACACTGTACTTCCTCGCTCAGTGACTTCATCAATGGTATGTACGATATACCTGAGCTGTACACCAAAGCTTGAACTGTTAGATATCTCCTAAGTGATACTTTTAAGTGAGTCTGGATTTATTCATCTTCCATGGATAGAATTTGTTCGGATTTTTAACCCATTGGGGTCCTGAAATCTTGTCCCCCCAGGGTGCGATCCACAACAGTCCACTGTTTCCCAGGTACCTACTGGAAGGTGAACAAGGACAGTATTTATTATTATAATCAAAAAGAAGAGCTAAGCCAAACAAGGACAGTAGGTGTAAGGAAACATGCCCTACATTTTCACCCATGCTGGGGATTAAACCACGGACACTGCGAGGCGAGTGCGTTCCCAACCAAGCCACGGGACACCGTAACCGAAGGCAATGAAATTTTTTTAATGGTTACTGCAATTTGTTTATTAATTATTATTATGATTATCAAAAAGTAGCTCTAACCTGGAGTGAGATTGTACAATGTTCTCTTGGGTTGATCAAGATATATACCAACCCTGTGTCCCTTTAAGCCCAATATGCTTGTGTATTTTTTAGGATACTGTTCTGTTCGGTCCCTCTGAAAGACGAATTCGATTTGGTCTGTGCGTCCTAATTTACCATTCTTATTGAAAAAAATTTATATCTGGAAGGTGCTGCGAGGGTCAACGCTCCCGCTGCCCGGTCCATGACCAGTTCTCGCGATGGATCAGTGCCTGATCAACCAGGCTGTTACTGCTGGCCACACGCAAACCGGCGTACGAACCATAGCCTGGCTGGTCAGGTACCGACTATGTGCCTGTCCAGCTCCCTCTTGAAGAGAAAGGTCTATTGATATCCCCTTCCTTATGTATGCTGGGAGGCAGATGAGCAGTCTTGGGCCCCTGACACTTATTGTGTTGTCTCTATGTGTACTCATGGTACCTCTGCTTTTCAATGGGGGGATATTGTACCACCTGTAGTCTTTTGCTTTCGTAGAGAGCGATTTCCAAGTGCAGATTTGGGACTAGACCTCTAGGATTTTCCAAGTGTATATTATCATGTATCTTTCTCGCCTGCGTTGCAAGGAGTACAGGTCAAGGAACTCCAACCACTCCCTGAAATTGAGGTGCTTTATTGTTCAGTGAAAATTCTCTGTACATTCTCCAGGTCGGAAATTTCGCCTACAGGCTGTACTCCTTGCAACGCAGGCAAGAAAGATACACATAATATAAGTCTGGAAAATCCTAGAGAGACTAGTCCCAAATCTTCACACGAAAATCGCTTCCCCATTGAGGGCGTGTTTCCTTACACCTGTTGTCCTCGCTCACCTAGCAAGCAAGTAGGTACTTGGGTGTTAGTCGACTAGTGTGGGTCGCATCCTTGGAACAAGAGTGAAGGACCCCAATGGAAATAAAACAGTCGTCGATGATGCACTGACTTTTTTGGGATATTCTGGGAGGCTAACCCTCCGGGTCAAAAATCTGAACGAAATCTTACCTTAGGTAGATGCTGCGCTTGTGATATACTGGGACGGCTTTCTCAGATACCGCAGCACCTCTGTGTCTCAAGTGGTTCGTACTTTACCATAATTGGAATTACTCTATGTGAGAGAGGCGGAGAGGGAGAGAAAGAGGAAGGGAAGAGGGAAAGAGCGAGACACTTAACCATGTTAATCTATTGTGTAAATAAAATATAAACAGGTTTGTCTGCACCAAGACTATGTACAGACAACTAGTACTATTATCGTGATAGAGAACTATCTGTTATCAGATGCGTCAAACAAAAATAGTAAGGTAGAAAAGTGGTATAAACCTTGGTAATAAATACCGACAAGTTGGTTTAGAAAGACACGTAAGCAAACACTAAACATTTATTAGAAAACGTTTCGGTCCTGGGACCTTGATCACTTCAAGGTCCCAGGACCGAAACGTTTTCTAATAAATATGTTAGTGTTTGCTTACGTGTCTTTCTAAACCAAGGTAGAAAAGTACTCTTGAAAAAAGGATGGAGAAGGTGGCAACGGGAGAAATGAGCGAGAACACTAGTACGCAGCTGTAGTAGGAAGCTGACAAATCAGCAGTAAAGTAAAAGCAACAGAACAGCTAGACAGGAGTACTAAGGCAACCCAGCAGACAGCAACAGTGACCTAACCTAAGTGACGCTGACGTTTGTAAGTGGTCTGGTACACTAAGATAATACTATCACCATGCCAGATGCAATGTCAAGGCACATCCATAATTACATATATATGTAATATATATAACTTCAGTGCGTCATCGAGGATTGTATCTTGAGGTACCTACTTACTGCTAGATGAACAGGTATAAGAAAACATGTATAACGTTTCCACCTGTGCCGGGGATAGAACCAAGGAAATTCAGTCGAGTGCCCTTCCAACCGAGCCACAGGATCAATTTCAGATAACAATATATAAAACTACACTAATATTTGTGACGATTCATGTCTGCATAGATAACTGGTTATGACTAACCAGACATAAAAAAGGCAAATAGTTCATTGCCATTACCTTGTATATTATTATAATAAAGAAGCGCTAAACCTACAAGAGATTACCTTGTATAATCTTTTTGACTACTGCCCACAAGATGAGAGCGGGGTGCATAAAAGTATTAATTATTATTATAATCAAAAAGAAGCGCTAAGCCACTAATAAAGGTATTAAAACTAACCGGATACCATAGGACAGTCCACCAGTTTTTGTTACACTGTAACTCAAGTCTTTACTTGGGTATTTATGTACTGGGCTCTGGTGCCAAATTTATGCCAAATTTATGTACTGGGCTCTGGTGCCAAATTTATGCCAAATTTATGTACTGGGCTCTGGTGCCAAATATCCTTTTGAACTGCACATAAATAGTACTGTTTGGAGAATCGCTCTACAACGTAGTGCTAATTACAGGGAAAAAATCACCGCACATTTTTAATACGAGTTGGGTAAACGCGCATATTAAACTTGTGGGATTATTATAACCAATGGGAACGCTAAAACCGTAGGATTATACGGCGCCTGTGGGGGGGGGGATGAAGGTATTCGGGCTTAATTCAGGAAACTGGAGCACATAAAATTCCCTAGATCAAGAGCCCCTCATCAACGTCAAGTCACCTTCCTTGAAGGGAGAATGCGAGATACTACTGTGACTCCCTCTTGGCTAAGTGACGCTTCACTTGACGTTGGAGCAGCAGCCATGTTTCACTAAAATTAAATTATACAACAAGCTTACTGACGCCTCGTAGCTATTATTATAAAAAAAGCGCTAAATCCTCGTATCTATAAACCACATTTTAACCAGTATGGTCAGACCCTAGGCAATGTTGTACAATATTGCAGCGTACAAGACTATTTTATGCCCTAATTATAATTACACGGAGCGCTAAACCCGTAGGATTATACAGCGCACGTGGGGGAGAATGAAAGGTATTCAGGCTTAATTCAAGGAACTGGTGCACAGATCCAATTCCCTAGATCAAGAGCCCCTCACCAGCATCAAGGAACCTTCCTTGAGGGGACAGCACTGGATAGGGGGAGTACAAGGGGGTAAGAGTTAGTCGCGTTGTGTAAGGAAGTGGAAGGTATAGTGTATTATTATTATAATCAAAAAGAAGCGCTAAAATATATATAGTGTAAAAGTTAAATCTGTTGATGCAAAAGGTTATTATTATTATAATCAAGGGGGAAGCGCTAAACCCGGAGGATTATACAGCGCCTGGGGGGGGATGTGGAAGTCATTCAGGCTTAATTCGGGGAACTGGAGCACAGATCCAATTCCCTAAATCAAGAGCCCCTCACCAACATCAAGGAACCTTCCTTGAGGGGTGCAAAAGGTTGGTATCCCTTGAAACAGCGAATCTGCTTGAAAGGATGTCAGTATGGGTGTAGATGTTATCAAGTAAGTCCTGTGTGCCTACTAATAACCAGGACAGTCCAATTATTATAATCAAGGGGGAAGCGCTAAACCCGGAGGATTATACAGCGCCTGGGGGGGATGTGGAAGGCATTCAGGCTTAATTCGGGGAACTGGAGCACAGATCCAATTCCCTAAATCAAGAGCCCCTCACCAACATCAAGGAACCTTCCTTGAGGGGTAAGGACAGTCCAAGATATGGCGACATAACTGATCCGGCAGTTCTCTCAATGACGCCGGTAGTTTCTCCATGTAGTACCTGCGAGGGAGTCATGATTATATTATTATAATCAAAAAGAAGAGCTAAGCCACAAGGACTATACAGCAAGGGAGTCATGAGTGTCTGATTCGAAATCAGACCAGAGCTGTCCGGTTCGCCGAACCGGACAGCTCTGGTTAGATGACCAGACTCCCAATTAATCCCGATGGAGGCTTGATAAGCACTGTGTCAAGACTAAACCAATGTTGCCAGTGGTTTCAGAGTTGGAGATTATTATCAAAAGGAAGCTCTGAACCTTCAAGAGCCATACAGCGCAGTCAGAGTTGGAGAGAATTAAAAAAAATAAGAAATACATTAGTGGTAAATGGGTTGGTCGGACCTAGTTGACCAAGTGGCAGAATCTACTTTGACCTAAACACTGCCCAGGGACCCAGAAAAAAACTAGAAATGCGACAACCAAAGCTATACAAGAAGAGCTTCACAACGAAGCAAGATTTTCTGAAAATTATTGTCCATGGGTTAGTCTGTGTCCAGTCTGATCAGTCCTCGAGCAAGGCGGAGAGGTAGTGTTAAGTTTCCTTATACCTGCTGCCTCTGTTCACCTAGCAATACAGTGTTGGACTACTGTGGACGATAACCTGGGAGGCTCACAGGTCTTATAAAGCCACATTACTTGACTATTTACATTAGCCTTAATTACGAGTGCCTGACGAAGAACGAAGGGGTATGATATTAAAGACACATGAATTACATTTATTCCACTGCAGTAATTATGATCACAACTAAACGCTAAACCCACAATGGTCATGCAGTGCTGTCCACTGCAATAATGTACTAATGTTTTCCCATAGTATAATGACGTTTAGCGCTTAACCCGAAGAATGGTTCCAGTGTCAATCACTGCCAACAACATCCAAATTCTGTTTACTCTTACACAGTATTTTCCAGTTCATTCCATATGAAGTTCATTCAGGGAAAGTGTGAGGTTGAAGGCTTCATGACCTAAATAACTGCCCTTCCATTCCTTATATTAAATATAATTACTTCAGTCCCCAGAAGCTGTATCTCCCTTGCGGGTTTAGCGCTTCACCACGAACAATACTACAAACATTAGCTTCTGATCATAAATTATAACTAAGCGTTAAACCCACAGGGGTCTAGCTTCTGAACAAATTAATAAACTCACGGTATACTGTTCATGCTGAATTTCCAGGAATTATGGCTCACAAAACATTAGTAACTTGCATATACGACATTCAGAAATACGAAAGATTCTTAGAAATTTATATAATTTGTTCTCACTGTAGGGTGAACATTGACACCTACATCACAGCCATCAGTAGTAGTCTAGCTTTGTTCTTAAGTTAGAAAAACTAGCATTTTAAGATGACTTTAGATTAGATTCTCTGGGTACAGCCTTTATGTAGACTGGTGTAGCTGGGTTGATGGCTACTGTCGGTATGGTGAAGGTCAGCGGTCGAGGCGTGCCCTCGCATACCTCCAACCTGAGGGCAAATTAAGATTGCTATGGTAATGTTATAGCAAATACATATAAAAGAAATTTTACCAACACAAGTGATATTAATGTAGATCTTAAGGTTTTCTGGGTTAGCACGATCACTGAATGGCCTAGCACGGTGACTTGGCTGGTCTGTACGAGTGCCAGTGGTGTGGTGGGTGGATGGGTGTGTGCAAAGTCGGGTGTGTGCAAAGTCGGGTGTGTGCAAAGTCAGGTGTGCCTCCTACCACCACAAACTGGCTTGCAGTACAATGCCTAACACTTATAACGCTGACAATACTATTAATACTCACATCAGGTGATTGAGAACTTTTAACTCCACTTACCTCCTTACTTGCTTCAACTAAAAAAATGCTAGTAACCTGACTGCCTCCTTTCTTATGTTATTCCCCAAAGGGTTTAGTGCTTCTGATTAAAAAAATCAAGTTCAATAAAAGGTACCTAAGTCAGCTTGCACACACAGACCAGGGTTTGATTTCCGACAACAACAACAAGCATATTTCCTTGCACTTGCTGCCTCCATTCACCTAGTAGGACGCAGGTGTATGTTATGGAAATAAATGGTACAACATACCGACACAATGAAAATATAAACACATATGCAGTATAATGTGATCCTTTATTGACAGTTTCGCCCACACAGTGGACTTTTTCAAGTCACAAACAGATCTACCTGGATAGAAGGTACGTGAATATTTATAGTCAGGTTGAGAAGGCTGGGTCAGGTGGAGAATGCTGCATGTGATGATCTACCGAGTGGAGTTATAGTCTAAAATCTTGGATAGCTTGGAAGAGAGATTGGATAAGTATACGAGTAGACCTTGATGAACATTGAAATGGTATAAAATACCGACAGATTGTTAGGTAAAGATACCTAACTGTTGCATATGTGTCTTACCTAACACGAGTAGACCTTCTGCAGTGTTCCTCCATTCCTATGTTCTTATGTGGGAACATAGGACTTATCAAGACTTATCGCCAGAGAAGACAACACTCAATACCGAAGAATCCTGGAATCATCGCTTATCTCTGTATCCTACAACTTCAACCAGAACAACGGCTTCTATAACAGATGAACCACTTGCCAAGAAACTTCTTCATCGCTATCCCACATAAGAACATAGAACACTGCAGAAGGTCTACTCATACTTCTCCAATCTCTCTTCCAAGCTACCCAAGATTATAGACTATAATCCCACTCTGCAGATCATCACATTCAGCATTCTCCACCTGACCCAGCCTTCTCCACCTGACTATAAATACTCACGTACCTTCCACCCCAGGTAGATCTGTTTGACTTGAAAAAGCTCACTGTGTGGGCGAAACGTTGTCAATAAAGGATCACTTCACATTGCATATGTGTTTATATTTCCAGGTGTATGTTATCCTGGGTTAAGAAGCCTCAGAATTAATAATTTCGACAGTCTTCTACCACAGCAATAACAAATTAAGCTTATTCAATGTGTGATAGTATGGAGGTAAAAAATACATTGATAATGTTTATCAGCTTTATGATGAGCTAAGATGGTAAAGAGAGCAACAGTTATTAGCCGACTGTTCAATTTATTTTAATAATTTGGAGAAAACGAAACTCATTATCATAGCTGCTTATTAATGGGGTTATGGGAAGCCGTCGGCTTGGATCCATGGAAAGGAAGGCTGCTTCCAGTTCCTTGGACTAGATATCTACCTAATTCTAGATGTTCAAGCGTGTAACACAGGTCTTTGTACAAGATGCAGGCGATACATTATCCATGCGTGTTTAGCTTCTCCAGTGACTAATATAATAACATACTCCTCTAATGTTTTACCACTTCATATACAAACCCGTCAGTACTAACTGAAGGATGCCAATGAAAAGTGGGATTACAAGAGATGGATAATCTAAAGTTGGAATACACAGGAGCGAACTAGACTACTATCTGCTGAAAGTGTCTAGTCAGTGTGATGCATATGAGGGCCTGCGAAAGATATGATATGTGGGGCTGTGGAACATGTGATGGATGTGGGATACTAGCACCAATAGCCTCAGGCACGACCCGTCTGCGTAATGGCTGGTGAAGTTTCACTGCAGGAGCGAAAAAAGGCCTACTGTGTGGCTGAAACGTTGTCAATAAATAACTCAGAGAGAGAGAGAGTTAATTCAGCCAGAAGCACAAATCACATAAGGAACGTCTCCGCCACTAGTGTGTCATATATATATATTTTATATATTATATATATATATATATATATATATATATATATATATATATATATATATATATATGTCGTGCCGAATATGTAAAACTGGTCAATTAGCAAGAACTCATTTAAAATTAAGTCCTTTTTGAAATTTTCTCTTATACGTTTAAAGATATATTTTTTTCATTAATGTTAATGTAAAAATTTATAATTTTGCATCAAAAGGAACTTAGAAAACTTACCTAACCTTATTATAACAAGAACAATTTATTTTTTGCCTAACCCAACTAAATATATTTTAGATTTGTTTACAGTAATTTAATACTAAACAAACACAGTGAAATATATTTTTTTCGTTAGGTTCGGAATGATTTTGGCGAAATTATTGCATACACAAATTTTCGCTTGTCCTATATGGCAAGATGAGCGTTGCTATTTAAGCCAAGATCGCAAGTTCTGCCTATTCGGCACGACATATATATATATATATATATATATATATATATATATATTAGATTTGAGAGCAGTTATTACCAATGAAAATAAATGTTTAAATAGCATACCTGTAGTTCTTAACTATCCTGGCGAGTGCAAGTTTAGCTTCGAGCTGGGCAAACCTCATGCCAGGACAGTTCCTGGGCCCAGCACCGAAGGGAATGTAAGACATGGGGTGTCTCGTCTCTGTTGCCTTGGCGTCGCTGGAGAACCTGTGCAATAAGAGGGAGTTTCAGCAAGGAGTTAACGTTATTATGTACCACAAACTATTAGTAAATACCAGCCCGTCGGCTGGTATTTACTAATATTTTGTTCCGCTGGATATATACATTAAAATGGAGAAAAACAAAATATCAGGCATTCATAATTTGATCGATAAGCGTTCATTGACTTTTAGTAAATTTAAAAAAAAAAAAAACTGTCAGTTTCCTGATTAATTTAGGTGTGCAGCATTTGCATTACTGACAAAAGCTACATTGGTAATATGTCTAAGGTACATTAATGAAAAAAAAAAAAAACTTTTGTAAACTTGATAAAGATCTACGCAATGTCACAAAAGCTTTTTCATTTTTTTTTAAATTTGTCTTTTATAACAAGCATTTTGGACTCGCCTGTCCGGGTCGAATTTGTCAGGTTGTGGCCACTGCTCTGGGTCCCGGTGAAGCTGCCAGATGGGCACCACGATGGTCATGTCTTTAGGAACCATGTAGTCACCCAGCTGGAAGAATGAAAGTTATACGGACAGAAAGAGGACGGGGTAAGACAAGATTACACGAACGAGTTTAGTTAATATATTTTTAATATACATCTAATGATTCTTTTTATGTTCTTAATATCCTCCTTGGAGGCAAAGAGGGGAATGTATGAGAGTATAGTTTTATCAACGCTCTCATATGGGTGTGAAGCATGGGTGATGAATGTTGCAGCGAGGAGAAGGCAGGAGGCAGTGGAGATGTCATGTCTGAGGGCAATGTGTGGTATGAATATAATGCAGAGAATTCGTAGTTTGGAAGTTAGGAGGAGGTGCGGGATTACCAAAACTGTTGTCCAGAGGGCTGAGGAAGGGTTGCTGAGGTGGTTCGGACATGTAGAGAGAATGGAGCAAAACAGAGTGACTTCAAGAGTGTATCCGTCTGTAGTGGAAGGAAGGCGGGGTAGGGGTCGGCCTAGGAAAGGTTGGAAGGAGGGGGTAAAGGAGGTTTTGTGTGAGAGGGGCTTGGACTTCCAGCAGGCATGCGTGAGCGTGTTTGATAGGAGTGAATGGAGACAAATGGTTTTTAATACTCGACGTGCTGTTGGAGTGTGAGCAAAGTAACATTTATGAAGGGATTCAGGGAAACCGGCAGGCCGGACACGAGTCCTGGAGATGGGAAGTACAGTGCCTGCACTCTGAAGGAGGGGTGTTAATGTTGCAGTTTAAAAACTGTAGTGTAAAGCACCCTTCTGGCAAGACAGTGATGGAGTGAATGATGGTGAAAGTTTTTCTTTTTCGGGCCACCCTGCCTTGGTGGGAATCGGCCAGTGTGATAATAAAAAAATAAAAATATCCTCGTGCAAATGCATGTGCAATGTTTATGTACCAGCCCTAGAATAGGTTTAAAGTTTTCCGAAAAACTCTGCAACCAGGGGCTCTCCAGTGTACTATTGTCATCTGATCTCGTAAGACTAGAATCTGTTCCAGGGGACCTTTTATAGTCTTACACCGCTTCATGTCCCCTACTTATCGGTTCGTTCTCTTAAACTGTTCCTAGTACTGAGAACACTAGTCAAGTGGAAAGCAATGAAGTTATAAAGCCGAGCATTACATTTTTAAACTCAGCGACTAAGTTTTAAGAACTTGTGGGATATAAACTTAAATATGGTGTAAACGTTAGAACTGCAAAAATGATGTACTTATAATACGCAAGATCCTGATAGCACTACAATACAAAGGTGTATAAGAATTAATAACGGCTTCCGCCTTACAAACTGAGATGTTTTTGATAAATTAGACACATGTGCAACTCTTGGGTATCTTTATTGAGGAAACGTTTCGCCACACAGTGGCTTCATCAGTCCATACATAGGAGAAACTTGAAGAACAGGAGGAGAATGAGGTAATCAGTCCCTCAACCTTGAGTCGATGTGTTCAGTCCATCAATCTTGAGTAGAATACGGCAGATGAGCGGAGAAGCAGCTTATAAACCGTATGGCAGGAGAGGTGTAGCAGTCATAGGTAGTGTCACATTTGTTCAATGTGAGATGTTTTTCATACTGGTTCCTTTTAATCTTGTCGAAGCTACGACCGCACAATAATCGTAACCAACATTCTCATTACTTGCTCTAAATATCCTGAATTTTGAATGTAGCATTCTTGTGTATGAAGCTAGGCACAGCTACACAAATTAAATGATCACAGTAGTTTGTGGATTCCCTCTCACATGGTCTCCAGGAGCATGAAGTTGATTACCTGGAGAGAGTTCCGGGGGTCAACGCCCCCGCGGCCCGGTCTGTGACCAGGCCTCCTGGTGGATCAGAGCCTGATCAACCAGGCTGTTGCTGCTGGCTGCACGCAAACCAACGTACGAGCCACAGCCCGGCTGATCAGGAACTGACTTTAGGTGCTTGTCCAGTGCCAGCTTGAAGACTGCCAGGGGTCTGTTGGTAATCCCCCTTATGTGTGCTGGGAGGCAGTTGAACAGTCTCGGGGCCCCTGACACTTATTGTATGGTCTCTTAACGTGCTAGTGACACCCCTGCTTTTCATTGGGGGGATGATGCATCGTCTGCCAAGTCTTTTGCTTTCGTAGTGAGTGATTTTCGTGTGCAAGTTCGGTACTAGTCCCTCTAGGATTTTCCAGGTATATATAATCATGTATCTCTCCCTCCTGCGTTCCAGGGAATACAGGTTTAGGAACCTCAAGCGCTCCCAGTAATTGAGGTGTTTTATCTCCGTTATGCGCGCCGTGATTATTATTATAATCAAAAAAGAAGCGCTAAGCCACAAGGGCTATACAGCATGCGCGCCGTGAAAGTTCTCTGTACATTTTCTAGGTCGGCAATTTCACCTGCCTTGAAAGGTGCTGTTAGTGTGCAGCAATATTCCAGCCTAGATAGAACAAGTGACCTGAAGAGTGTCATCATGGGCTTGGCCTCCCTAGTTTTGAAGGTTCTCATTATCCATCCTGTCATTTTTCTAGCAGATGCGATTGATACAATGTTATGGTTCTTGAAGGCGAGATCCTCCGACATGATCACTCCCAGGTCTTTGACGTTGGTGTTTCGCTCTATTTTGTGGCCAGAATTTGTTTTGTACTCTGATGAAGATTTAATTTCCTCGTGTTTACCATATCTGAGTAATTGAAATTTCTCATCGTTGAACTTCATATTGTTTTCTGCAGCCCACTGAAAGATTTGGTTGATGTCCGCCTGGAGCCTTGCAGTGTCTGCAATGGAAGACACTGTCATGCAGATTCGGGTGTCATCTGCAAAGGAAGACACGGTGCTGTGGCTGACATCCTTGTCTATGTCGGATATGAGGATGAGGAACAAGATGGGAGCGAGTACTGTGCCTTGTGGAACAGAGCTTTTCACCGTAGCTGCCTCGGACTTTACTCTGTTGACGACTAATCTCTGTTCTGTTAGTGAGGAAATTATAGATCCATCGACCGACTTCTCCTGTTATTCCTTTAGCACGCATTTTGTGCGCTATTACGCCATGGTCACACTTGTCGAAGGCTTTTGCAAAGTCTGTATATATTACATCTGCATTCTTTTTGTCTTCTAGTGCATTTAGGACCTTGTCGTAGTGATCCAATAGTTGAGACAGACAGGAGAGACCTGTTCTAAACCCATGTTGCCCTGGGTTGTGTAACTGATGGGTTTCTAGATGGGTGGTGATCTTGCTTCTTAGGACCCTTTCAAAGATTTTTATGATATGGGATGTTAGTGCTATTGGTCTGTAGTTCTTTGCTGTTGCTTTACTGCCCCCTTTGTGGAGTGAGTTGGGGTCTGTGTTGCTTAGTATATCTTCCCAGCTTATATCGGTTAGGACTTGGTTTACTTGGTCCCACTTTGTTTTTGTTAATGAAGTTGAATTTGGTGAATGCTCCCTCGTGACTAGTCTCATTATGTCGGTCTGGGGCTCCACGCATACATGTCTGAACCTCAATTATGTTGTGATCTGAGTATATTGTTTTTGATATGGTGACATTTCTTATCAGATCATCATTGTTAGTGAAGATGAGGTCTAGTGTATTCTCCAGTCTAGTAGGCTCTATTATTTGCTGGTTTAAATTGAATTTTGTGCAGAGATTTAAAAGCTCGTGTGAGTGTGAGTTTTCATCAGAGCTGCCTCCTGGTGTTATTACTGCAACAATATTATTTGCTATATTCCTCCATTTTAGGTGCCTTAAGTTGAAATCCCCCAGGAGCAAGATGTTGGGTGCAGGAGCTGGAAGATTTTCCAGACAGTGGTCAATTTTTAATTGGTGAAATGCATTAAATAACAGAATGTGGCGTACAACTTAATTTTTTTCAAAAAAGATGAGGAACCGCTGTCAGAAAGGAACTAGCAAACGAGCTTCAGGGGAGTAGAACAGCACATATAGAAACTGGCAGATCCATTATCCATCATAATGAAGTGTGTCAAGTCAAACATATCTATGCAGAAAGTAGAGATTATTGGAGTGCAAGATGTTGCTGCTATATTAAGGATAGACTGTAAGCATCTCTGGCAGTATGGTTTGTATGGAGATGTTGACAAAATGACTGGACAGACAGGGCCATACATTGCAGCATTATATCTTAGTGTCTAAACATTCAACCTTTCAAGATATGGAAAAACTCCTCCTTGTTAATAAGATTTGAAAAGTTGAGGTTGTATCCACTTTTTGCATCTACTAGAGTATCAAACTTTTCACAGAGATTGCAACCCAGCTATGATCATTGTTTATCTTTAGTTGTAAACAAGCAATCTGACTCTTTCTTTACTGTGGATAACAGCTATACGAGATCATTTTAAAGTACGAAATAACTAATATTCCTTACTAGTAATGTAACAATGCTCAGTGCGGTTTGATAAAGACTGACCGATCAATTTTTTTTTTTTGCGAGTTACCGCTCAGAGTAGCAGCGCAGCTACTCTAAAGCTTTACATAGGGAATTCCCATCTGAGAGAACACACCGTGCTGATTTCTAAGTTATTTGAGCCAATAGGTGCACAATAAACTAGCTGCTCAGGCGGAACTAAACTTAGCAGCTGCCCAGATTGGAAGTAGGGGCGTCCATCTGTCTTACCATGTATAGATTAAGTATATGTATTAGTGTCAGTTTATACTGCTCCTGTTAGGCGCCAGCTTGAGGTGTATATACGTAGAGGGTGATACTGTATAACTCTTAAAATGAAAAGTAGAGGTAATAAAGCTGACCTTGAAATCCTGAGCACATTCTCTAGTGACGAAGTTGACCACAGGCGGGTACAGCCTCAGGGACTCGCTCAGAACCTCCTCAAGATACTTTAATTCCTTCACTTGTTCGTAGGTCAGCTGGTCATCAGTCTGAGGATACAAGCTTTATGATTATTCTGCAATTTCTTAAATTGGGGGTATGATCCATTCACATCTTGAGGAAGTTTAAATGATAAAATATTTGCCATCAGGAGCATTGCTCTTCGGCTCTAGTAAGTAGGTAAAAAAATCGGTAATCATTTACCTGAAATGCATTACAAATCTCTTCGTAAAGTCTCTCTTGAGTCTCGGGGTGCGTCGCCAGCAGGTACGTGGTGTAAGTGAGTGTGTTGGCTGTAGTCTCGAAACCACCCAGCAAGAAGACCCAGGCGTTAGCGATGATCTCTCCGTCGGTAAGCAATGTTTGTTTTGGTCTCTCCTTGTCCGAGGCCAAGGCAGCTTCGTTGGTCTCGACACCATCGCCAGAGTTGTCTACCCGAGACTCTGCAGCCTCTAGCATTAGCTGCAGCACATCTATGTACTTTGTGCTTAAGTCCCTACGACGGATGGAAATTACAGTCTTAAGGTGTTCGACTATCATCTGTGTCATCCTTCCCGACAAAACCAGTTTGTTACTGGCGTAGCTCAAAAAATTGGCGAAGAATGGGAAATACAGAGCAAGGAGAACTGCTGGATTGATGGCATTCTTCAAGAACGCTTTCACGGCTACGAAAAATTTGTCTTTGTCTTGATTTCTCTGACAGTCAGTCTTCATGGCCAAAGCACACTCGCTGATCACGTCGAGTGTCAGGCCCTGGAAAGTAGAATACCATTCGACTGGTTCTCCTCTTGCATGCGTCTCCGCAATAATGGTCAACAGTTCATCAATCTTCTGATTCATGATGCCAGCCATGCATTTCATTTTCACCATAGAAAACGTAGGAGCCAGGACAGAGCGAACGTCCTTCCAACGCTGGTCCCGGAGACCAACAACAGTATCAACAACCGGTTGTGCCCTCACCACTAACTTTGGTCGGTTAGAGAAGTTGTGAAAATCTTTTACAAGTACCTGCCTGATGAGGTCTAAGTCAGCTACAACCAGCATAGGTTTACTGCCGATGTAAAAGCCGAAGACTTTGCCGTACTTCTGAATATATTGACCTATAAAATCAGTAACTAGGATCCCGGGCTTCCGCAGTACATCGTTGCTGCCATAGATAATATGAGGCTTCACATAGGGAATTCCCAGCTGGGAGAACACAGCGTGCTGACGTCTGCGTTGTACGAGCCAGTAGGCCACATACAGAAGGAAAGTGGCAGCTATGAGACCATAAGGGTTGCTCACTATGTCCACCGGCCCCATGTTTATCACTTCTGTTCAAGACTGAAAAAGGAAAATGTCACAATGCAATGTATTAAAAAATAGTGTTAGGGCAGGGGGATACGAGAGCTATGAATGGTAGTGGGTAAATTACCTTTATACCCATTAGTTTCAATAATATCTCCGGCATTTTTACCATTAGTGGTGCTTTTACATTTGCGTTTTAATTTAAAGCTTTCATGAAAATTTTCATTAATTTCGTAATAAAGCATTATAATCCACTGTCGGGCGCGTGCTTTACTGTGACGAAGAAAAACGGGACTTTCAGCAAGTTAATTTATATTACTACATGATGTGACTGGAATGTTAATGTATAAACGATTAAGACTTAACAAGCACCTTAAATAAGCCTCTTCACATTGTGATTACAGGGTTAGGGAGTCATTTTCTTCGTCAAATATTGCTGCACATAACTTATGGGATTATAATCTTGGGAAAGCTCTCAACTTTCACGGGTCATAGAGCACCTAGAGAAAAGGACGCAATAAGGATTGAGCCACGGAAAGGCGTGATTGAAGATTTATGCAAAACAAGTGTACACATATAAAGAGAAGTCTGATCTCTAATGAGAACCGCAGATAGCATATCAGATATGGTTGATTATGAATAGTTTTAAGAGATTACATCGTGTCCAAACAGGCATGGAAGCATATAGGCTGCCAGGGACGTGGAAGCATATAGGCTGCCAGGGACGTGGAAGCATATAGGCTGCCAGGGACTAACCAATCCATGCTAACTACATTCGACACTAAAGCTAATTTAGATTAACACAACTTGTGTTCCCGGAGACCTGTGTGAGGGAAGCCACAAGTGTGATTTTAACGCTTTTGTCTATTTTGTGCATATCCGTATCAACCTTGAGACAAAAATAAATAGTTTCATTCATATCCTAGAATAACTGCTAGAAGACATTTTACACTGAAATTACCCAATGACTTCTAATTAGCTTCTTGATGGCAAAAAATTAATGTATTTCGGAGAATAGGAAGATACATTCACGAGTCAGCAGACACTGATATTTAAATTTCTTCAATAAGCATGGCAAATTAGAATATACACAGCTCAACACTAAAACCTTCCACTAAGAGCAGTTTGAAGCCAAGCAGGAGGGTACCTCAGTGTGACCCCCCCCCCTTACCAAGAAATTCTAGCTTCTCCAATTAGTCTTGCTGAATTAAATCATACAAGAAAAAATAATTGAGCTTTTGTAATTTAGGGTTTTTTGTCTTTTCTGTTAACGATCTCTTTCAGGTAGCCCTTTCGATAGTGTAGTTAGAAATCTGCTCGCCCACTACTGGTCAATTTTTTTATGAAATAATTTGAGATTGAACTGTTAACACTACTTCCTGACCTTTATATATTTTTGCTCTGCTGATCACAGGATATGCCGAGAGTACCCAATGAAGCAGCAGGGAAATGAAAAATTTATTATAATTCCCTTCATAGTGTAGACGGTTGGTCGCACCGTCGGGGGGGGGAGGGGGGCGCAACTGAATTACAAAATTCAGACGTGCTTGAGATGTTAATGCATTCTCGCCGAGTCAAGTCACAGCTCCGGGCCCCTCCCTCTAAGGTTCTCGGATCGTGGCCCTACTTTTGAAACAGAGGTTGTTTACCCCCTTTATCTCCTCCATTCCATTCACGACCCTGCGATTAAAAAAAAAAAATTTTTCCCTTTACCCCCCTGGGTCTTTTGAGTACTGAGAAACTACATAGATATGCTTTTCAGACGAATAAAAATTTATTTGCATCTGGCATGTGCTGGGTGTGATGTTCCTCAAGATCCCTTTCCCCTTTTGACTTTTAGAAAATTTGGGAGTTTTTTCTCCCTCTCGACTGTGTTCTGTCTGGGTTTATTTTTCCCAATCCCCAATTTTCAGACCTTGCATTTAATCCGGTAACCATTGTTTGACCTTCTTTCTGTTTGTCAAGTCTACCTGTAGCCCGTCGCACCCCTCCTTTTTTATTTATCAACAAACCATGAAAACCCAAATCAAACCCCCCCTGGCAAGTAAATTTACATGAATAAAAATAAAAGGCCCTTTTACCCCATACCCTGCTTGTTCCTCTAGCTTGTGAATCTAATGAAGTACAGTATCAAATGCTTTCCTACAATCTAAGAATATGCAGTAAACCCATCCCTGGAGTATATCGGTGTTCCGGGGTCAACGCCCCCGGTGCCTTTGTCTGATTTCAGTTGTCTTAGAATTCCAGTGCGCCGTATCTTTACAAGGAAATCATTAACTAATCCAGTGTAAGCTATATCCTGGACAAAATACCTATGTGTAATAACGCATACGCGACCAGGCAAGGATATTTAATCCTCAAAACAGGGATTCAAGTCAATTCTGTACATATACTCCAAGAAACCCACCACTCCTTGTTTGTATAACCTATTTTACTGAAGGCCATTCCACAGTCTTTTAATTTTCATTTATATAACAATTTTAATTAAATTGTCGCATCATAACACAGACACTTTTTTAATGTGTAAATAAGTCTTTGTAGGAGTATTTTACCGATGCAAAGTTTTCCATTAGCCATAGGTGGCAGTCAAATAGCAACTTTTATCCATTACGTAGAATAAAAGCGACTAAAAGAACCTAGTGTTCTAATGGTACAATAAAAGATAAACAATAGTTTAAGCAAGAACACGCCTAGCAGCAGAACACACACTGCCAACACTTACATAAAAAGAGACTGCGCGCAAAAACACAGCTTCATACGTTAGCATCTATATTTGAACAGGTAATCACCTCTCAATATATTTAATGAAAGACTCACCTTCAGGTATATTCCAAGGAAGAGGTAGAGTTAGAGTGTATCAAGAGAGGTGTGGGAGAACACTGGCAGCGGTACACCCACGACCACCACACGTCACCAGCCACACGCACCATTGCTTCTTCACTCTCTTCTGCGCATCTCTACCAGATGTACTCCACTTCCCTCCAAACAAGACCAGTCTCGAAGCTAAGTGGTGTGTTCTATAAGGAGAGGTTAAAGTAACTCACCCTGATGACACTGATGGATAGGGAGGATATGATAACGACGTATAAATGCTGAGAGGAATTGACGAGGTGGACACTGGCAGTGTGTTTCCCAGATGGGACAGTAACAAGGGGTCAAGTCCAGAGGTTGAAAATTCAAATGGGTCACAGGAATGTTTGAGAGTATTTCTTCATCACTAAAGTTGTCAGGAAGTGGAACAGTCTGGAGAGGGATGTAGCTGAGGCAGGAACCATACATAGCTTTAAGGGGAGGTACGACAAGGCTCTTAGAACAGGGTGAGAGTGGACCAAATAGCGACCAGGGATGAGGCGAGGTCAGGAGCTACGAATCGACCCCTGCGACGATAAATAGGTAAGTACACATACACGAGCTATGAATCGACCCCGGCAACCACATATAGATTAGTACATACACACAGGGGCCAGGAGCTGTGAATCGACCCCTGCAACCACAGCTAGGTGAGTACATACACACAGGCCAAGTGTCTAATCAACAAGTGCCTGTGACAAAATGGTAACTAACACACTTGACAAGCGCGTAAGAATAGCGGGAATGGCGATAAGAAATAATGTTTTATTATATTTTTTACCGTGTACAACTGTATTAAGTAATTACAAAAAACAAATGGTAATTGGATATCAGTTTTTTTGAGACTGCATTCCTTACTGCACTGTGTAAAACAACTATGCGAAGTAATTATAAAATACGTAATGACTAATTTTGTCTGATAAAGACCCATCGTGACCTCTGTGATCCTGGTTTTTTCTACACTACCGATCATAAGATGACGCGCAGGTGCATAATAAACTAGCCGCTCGGGCGGTACAACTGAAGAACAACGATGGAGGAAAGAGACAAGGAAGGAGACAGAGCCTGTCCGTGGGGATAACAGACCAGTGAGGACCTGGTATTGTTTTTGATATAGTATAATGAATACCTATGTATATATGTGTGTGTGTATACACACACACACACATATATATATATATATATATATATATATATATATATATATATATATATATATATATATATATATGAACTGCATACCAAAAGAGATAAAAGATGTGCTCCTGTAAAGTACACGAGGAGAATGAAAACCAATGACCGTATAAAAGACTTTACTAATGTATCGGGTTCCCATTCATGGAAGTTATGGAGATAAATATTTATGTTGATAACTGTGTATGTATCGATAACTGGGCTTCTACCTTCAAATTGAACTGTTTGCTACACTCTTTGCACCTCAAATGTTTCCACGTATCTAAGATTAACACCTTAATTGTAAATAATTCTTTATTATCCATAAATGCTTTAAGGAGGGAGTAGAAATATAATCTTGGGCTGTCGGTTATCAGTTAGGGAATAATAATAAGAAAAAAAATAACCTCAACCGACCTTCACTGACTTGAGACTAACACCAGTCAGTCGACCTATCATCATTCTAGCATGCAAGAGGAGCCACATGTCCGGTGCAGCCAACAAAATCAACAGTCTTGGATGTCACTACCACCCGACTCAGGCTGGGTTACAATTATCTCTGGGAGGTTGCGTCAACATCACCACCTGATATAGAAATAACCAAAATGGACTATTGTCAGATGGACTATTGTCACACTTTACGTCCTTATGTGCTGGGATGCAATAAAATTAATGAATTCATAGACGACTCACTCACAAATGTTCAAGAAATGCCAGAGTATTTTATCTACAGTGCCATATTTTCAACCATTCTGAAAAAATGTCCTGACTTTGGCTATTGTAAATAACGCACAACCACATAAACTTGTTCCTTAATAGGTACAATGTCTACCTACTGAAGCTCAGAAGACTATGTCCAGCTCTTATGCAATGTCAAGTAGATTATTTTTGTTCTTCTTGGTACTCTGCTCAAACAAAAAACTCAGACTACAAATTACCCAGAACAAAATGAGATTCATCCTGGATGTGGATTTAAGAAAACATAATGGCCAGAATGAACTACAGCAATTGGAGTTGTCTAATACTGAAAACAGTGTAAGGCAGCTGAAGCTGAATCATGTTTACAAAATTACTCAGCGTCCAGAATATCATCCGGCGGCTTTGTCAAGGTTAGGAACCAAAGCCAATATGATTATAGGGAAAGTGACCACAATTTTGTAATACCTACAGTAGGTGGCCCCTCAAGGAAGGTTCCTTGATGTTGGTGAGGGGCTCTTGATTTAGGGAATTGGATCTGTGCTCCAGTTCCCCAAATTAAGCCTGAATGCCTTCCACATCCCCCCCAGGCGCTGTATAATCCTCCGGGTTTAGCGCTTCCCCCTTGATTATAATAATAATACAGTAGGTGGCTAGGCCTTAAACACCTACTATACAGCAATAGAGGATAGAATGGCTGTCCTACTATGTCAAGACCATCTTAGCATAAATCAATTTAGGAAGAGTGAAGAAATACTTAATAAATGAAGCTACAGAAAAGGAGGAAAAGGATTGATTCTAATAATAATAATAATAATAATAATAATAATAATTTCGTTATTTCTACAAGTACATGTACAAGGTAAACAGGCCTGCCTGTCATCAATGACATACTACTATATAGAAAGCCGCTTGTTATGCAGAGCACATCTGGCAAATTAGGTCAGTTTTGTACCTAAATACTGACCATACTGGAAATAACCTAGGACTCAGAAGGAAATAACGAAGGACCCTGATGAAAATAACCAAGAGGCCTCAATGGAAATAACCAAGGACCCAACAGAAATGGCCAAGGACCCTAATAGTAATAACCAAGAACCCCCAATGGAAATAACCAAGAGCCCCAAATGGTAATAACCAAGGGCCCCAATGGAAATAAGTCACATTGTCTGACTTTTTTTGGGGTTGTTCCGTCTAATTTGCATTATGTATGATAATTGTACTTATCTGTATTTAAGCCTAAATACATTTATTTCTGTTCATTTTCTTTTCCTTGTGCATCAGGAGCCAGGCAGGGCTCGATACGGCGCCACCTGTTACTGGCCATATACACCTTCGTTGGGTGTGGACGACTCACTTTCGCCTGAGTATCAATGACAAAATTTCCCCACTTTCTCTGGGATGCTTGGCCTCATCTACTTTGCCCGCCTGTCATCGGCTTACTTATAGTCGGCTCCATTTTTCACCGGGAAGCCGGTTACTGAACTTAGATGGGGTGTGGGCGTCCCACTCTGCTGTGCTTGGCAAGGTGGTCCACCTGATCTACTTGGGAACTTTTAGTTCCTGTTTCTGTTTACAGAGGAACTCTTGTTCCTTTTTCCTTCATCGCCCAGCTATGGACAACAAATCTTCCCCAATGGAAATAAGTCGCTCTGAGATTTTGGGGGATTATCCTAGGTTCTCTACACATACACTGCTATGCAAAACAATCACAGACAGGCGATCTTAACAATGCAAGACAAGCCATGGGGGGTGGAAATCTTTAGTTCAAGTACTTTCACACTTCTCAGGATGTGCAGAGGATGTGGAGAGGATGTGCAATGTTGCAAAGGCAACAACAGGAGAAGTAGAGTAAGTTTTGAATACTCATAAAACATGTTTCATTCAGTTTGGAAACAAGCTGCAAATCATCCAATTAACATAACGCTAAACGGATCATCAGTCACAAGACTTACAGAGGGAAAATTCCTAGGTATGCACCTTGACAGTAGCATACATACAACAAACCAAGAAAATCTATAAGACTGTAGGTATACTATCAAAGTTAAGGTACTACGTTCCACAAGCAGCTCTCCTGGCACTGTACCATTCACTCTTATACCCTTACCTCACCTATGGAATTTGTGCATGGGGATCAACAACATTCAGTCACCTAAGACCTCTAATAACCCAGCAAAAGGCAGCAGTCAGAATGATAACAAATTCCCACTCCCGCCAGCATACCCCACCAATTTTCTAAAGTTTGAATCTGCTCACCATTAAGAACATCCATACTTATTCATGTGCCTACTACATACACAGAACAATACACACAAATATTAACCCTCCACTCAAACTTCTCCTCACCAACCTAACAGGACACATGACCACAACACAAGACACAGATCTCTTTTTGATATACCTCGTGTCCATATCACACTGTGTAAAAACTCTATGCACATAAAGGGCCCCAAAATTTGGAATTCATTACCAGAAGATATTAAAGTAACCCAGTCTGAAAATCAATTTAAGACTCCTTTCAAAAGCCACTTAATCATCCTAGACTAAATGCTAAATACTCAGTACACACATACTCATATATTCCCACATCATAACTTCAACAATCACTTTGAACCTTTTATCCATTGTTGACAGGAATATAATTTGAATCACTTTTCACAAAAAGCATTTTTTGAATATATGAATATATCTTTTGTTTTATATAAATTAGATTCACTTAAAATTAATAATCTACTGTACAACTATGATATAATTAATATTCTACTGTACATTATTATTATAATCAAAGGGGAAGCGCTAAACCAGTAGGATTATACAGCGCCCGGGGGGGGGGATGTGGAAGGCATTCAGGCTTAATTCGGGGAACTGGAGCACAGTTCCAATTCCCTAAATCAAGAGCCCCTCACCAACATCAAGGAACCTTCCATGAGGGGTCTACTGTACAACTACGACATAATTCTTAGTGTTAAGTAGTCTGTAAGCCAATAATGTTAAGTCGGCCCATAATGCCTAAGCATAATAGAGGCTCTCTTTGTATTGCAACCCATTATTGTCAATACAAAATCTCAGTGTACCATTTGCAAAGACATAAATAAATAAAAATAAAAATAAGAGTGGAGGCACCCGACAGTCTGAGACTGGAGGGTGCCTCCACACTACTACTAGGAAAACTTACCCTACTTCTGTTGTTGCCATTGCAACATTGCACAACTCATGATGATGCACTGAGAAGTATGAAAGTACTTGAGCTAAAGATTTCCATCCCCCGTGGCTTGTCTTGCATTTACTGTTATGTATGATAATGTAACTGTATTTATGTATACCTGAATAAACTACTTAACATCCAGAAGTCGAGCTCGATACGATGGTGCCCCGTGGCCTGGTGGCAAAAGCTCTCGCTCACACTGTGAGGGTCCGGGTTCGATTCCTTGTAATGGGTACCTGAGTGTTGGTGGACTGTTGTGGGCCTCATCCCGGGACAAAATGACCTAATTCGCCCGAAATGCTCTGCATAACAAACGGCTTTCTATATAGTACACAAATAACCCGCACATAAAAGAGAGAAGCTTACGACGACGATTCGGTCCGACTTGGACCATTGACAAAGTCACTGTGACTTTGTCAATGGTCCAAGTCGGACCGAAACGTAGTCGTAAGCTTCTCTCTTTTATGTGCGGGTTATTTGTGTATCGTTCCAGTCACGGTATTGTGCCTTATTTTGTTATTTCTATATAGTAGTATATCATTGATGTCAGCTAGGCCTGTATACCTTGTACATGTACTTGTATAAATAAAGATATTATATTATGAAGCTGTCAGTGGCCCTAATAAACCCAACGAACAAACAAGTATTGACTGTCAGTGGCCGTATAAACCCCAACAACAACAATAATACTTTATTGCATATTAGTAAGTTTATTCGGACTTCTGCGCCAGCCTTCGTCGGGTATGGACGTCTCTCTCTCGCCTGAGTATCAGTGACAAATTTCCCCCGTCCTCACTGGGACGCTTATCCTTGTTTATTTTGCCCGCCGGGCACTCCACAGGATGGACACCTGTACATCCCCTTACTTTTAGCCAGCTCCATTTTTTCCGCTCTGCGGATAATTCTTTATCGGTCTTTGGTGGGAAGCCGGTTACTGAACTCAGGTGGGAGTGTGGGCGTCCCTCTCTGCTGGGGCTTGGCAAGGTGATCCACCGGATCTAATTGGAAATTTAAGTTTCTGTCTCTGTTTACAAAGGAACTTTTGTTACTTTTCTCTCATCGTCCAGCCTTGGGCAACAATTTTTCCTCGTACCATCGAGAAGTCGGGCTCGATACAGCGTGTGCTGTCAGTGGCCCTGATAAACCCAACAAAGAAAGAAAGAAAGGAGTAAGTTTATTCAGGTACACATAAATACAGTTACATAGATTATCATACATAGCATCATATGTGTAGAAAACCCAGGATAACCCAAAAAAGTCAAAGTGACTTATTTCAAGTTTGATACTCAATAAATAACAAAAAGGCACAATACCGTGACTGGAACGATACACAACTTGATACTCAAGTTTAGACTTTTACGGGTGTCTTCTAGAGCAGTGTGTGTGAATAAAGTTAGCCTTAACCTAGTGAAGCTGGGTACTTATGGCTTAGTGCGCTGCACTGTATAACCCTTATGGGTTTAGAACTTAGTTATGATTAATAATATGGCTTAGTGTTGTGGGTCACATCATTGGGAATTATAGTATTTATTGGGAAGCACTAAGCCCGTAGGGGTCATAGTGCTGGGGAAAATGGGAAGCACTCAGATGTAAAGAATATTAAAAAAAAACTAGTCTTTTTTTTTTTTTTTTTTTTTTCAAAAAGTGCCTCACCAAGTATTAAAATAGTTATAACTGACCATAATTTTTAGATGGGTGGACCGGTAAGCCAGCGGAAGGCCTCGGTCAGATGATCAAAGCTCCAAAGGCGGGTCATCATCTGACAAAGACCCATGTCAGGAAACACCTGTCCTGTTTCCTGACAAACCTGACCTAACCTAACCTAGTGTGTCTCACCTCAAGGGAAATTCTTTGATGGCAGTGAGGGGCTCTTGATACAAGGAATTGGATCTATCTTCCCTTGCCTTAAATTGAACCTGATTACCTCCCATTTGTCAAGTCCTGTATCGACCCCTACAAATTTAAGACTCCACCCACAAATGCAATAATGTTGCAGTATACCTTAATCACCATTGATCTTTATACATTCATTGATTCATAGAGCTGTATGACCCTTGTAGGTTTAGTGCTTCTCTTTGATTATAATAATAATCATTGATTCATATTTCACTAATGGCATATGTACATGGGAATCCACAGCAGTAAAGTATATACAACCCATCATAACAATGAAATACTATTATAAGAATAATTTCTCACATAACACGAGAACACATTCCCATAGAAAACAATTAAACATAATCCATACTGTTTGTAAAACTGCAAAACATTTACACATACTGCTGTGAATCTACGTCTACATCACACTGAATATCAGTATTAACTTAGAATTAAAGCATAAGGTAATAAATTGAATATAACCAGTATTACAATACAAGACTTTTTGCACTGAATGATCTATGTGGGTTGAGCACTGAACATGAATTATTATTATTACAATGCAAGAAACATAACTAGAATTTCTTTCAGAACCCATGTAGAGATACAGGCACATTAAAGGACTAATAACATGAAAATCTTACTTGATAATTCTAAAACTCTGAAACCACAGGATATGCATGCCAAGAGATGTGTCATCTCTCAGCATATACGGTATATCCTGAGGGGTTTATTTTATTCCCTATTTTTGGGATCAAAGTATTCTTGACTGGTGGTGAAAATGCTACCATGCAGCCTTAATAACCTTCATGTAGATAACAGGCTTTAAACCCCATTAACCAACCATCTGAATCAACAGCTAACTTAAAATGTCAGTGAACACTGCTTGAATATTCAGTAATGGCTGAGGCTGTGTGACCAGCAGCTGGTTGCTCAAATGTTAGCAGATTTTGAACTACATTACCAGATGTGCTGCATTCATATATTTTCAACTTGTTTATATGTGAGCAAATATACATTTTAATAGGTTTATATAACCTAACCTAACCTAACCTAACCTAACCTAACCTAACCTAACCTAACCTAACCTAACCTATAACTTGGTCACTACTCGACTTGTCGTGTAAATGTATTCTTAACAGACTACAGTGGACCCCCGCTTAACGATCACCTCCAAATGCGACCAATTATGTAAGTGTATTTATGTAAGTGCGTTTGTACGTGTATGTTTGGGGGTCTGAAATGGACTAATCTACTTCACAATATTCCTTATGGGTAAAAATTCGGTCAGTACTGGCACCTGAACATACTACTGGAATGAAAAAAGTTCGTTAACCGGGGGTCCACTGTATTTAGTTTCTTGTTTCTGGATGAGTAGACATTTCTTGTTAATACCAGTTTATTCACTGGAAAGCACCAATCTCACAAGGGTCATACAGCACCTCAGAAACAGAAGGTGCATACAGTTAGGTTTGATTAATGGAAGGGTAGCTCCAGTTCCTAGGATGAAGAGCTTATTTTTTTTTTTTTTTTTTTTTGGTTATCATGTTTCTCATCATAAATTACTATGCAATATAGTTCTCCAAACGAGCATTTAGTACTTTACTACGTATTTTCATGCCTTATATTATTAAATCTTTACTAACTTTTTTATAGCCGCAGTAACAGCCTGGTTGATCAGACCCTGATCCACCACGAGGCTTGGTCTCAGACCGGGCAGCAGGGGCATTGACCCCCGAAAGTCTCTCCAGGTATACTCCATGTACGATTGGTATTACAGTAGTATTATACAGTGGAACCTCGGTGTTCGTATTCCCTAGTTTGTATGTAAAACTGTAGCTCTTCTCTATAAAATGTATTTTTTGTTAATATTGTTGGGTGTCTGGAATGGATTAATTGGATTTACATTATTTCTTTTGGGTAATATTGCTTCAATTTTTGTACAATTCAGGCTTTCGTCAGATTTTTTCAAATAGATTAATGACGAAAACCAAGGTTCCACTGTATAAAGTTTTTTCATTTTACTATGATATTTATTATTCTTGGATGCCCTGATGATATAATCATTCTCATAATTGTTATAATTTCAAGCATGTAAAAATCAGTAATTTTGATTGTGGTGGATTGAGATTGTTTTGTTGTGATTGTAGCAATATTGGACAGTTCTGTAACCAACTGACTTTGTCTGTTATTTCTGAATCGGTTGACCCGATGGACTTCGTTCCATATTTTGGAAGTCCGTTACATCAAAGTTCTGTAAACTAAGGGTTTACTGTACAATTCACAATTTTAACTACACCAGGTAGATTAAGTTAATAAAAAAGTGATAAGGGGAATACAATATTTTCCCACTTTGTACCCTGCTACTATGCAGGTGAATTTGTACCCACATGACTTCCTGGGTATGTATTTTATTACCATGCATTTCGCAATACAGCTTCTCCTCACTTAGCGACGTACTCGTTTACCGATGACTCGGACTTACGACAGGCTCTCTGACCAGTATGCATACCTAAATACTGTATATCAGAGCTGATTTCCTCTATTCTGTTTATTACAACATACAGTAAACTACTGTTTAAACATTTAAAAATATACCAGAAATGTTATGAATGGTGCAAAGGTAACATTAAAACAATATGAAAAATGGTTGACATAAACCCACTACCATTATAGTATGCTCCTCACTTAGCGACGAATTCGTGTACCGACGTGGTCTTAGGAACATGACTCCATTGTTAAGTGAGAAGAGGCTGTATTGAGAAACCCTGTGTTACTTGTTTGCTCTGTGTTTGTTTGTAGAATAAGAATGCATCTAGTTTCGATGCTGTATCAAATGTATTCATGTTGCTATTTTCTTTCAACAGGCAAAGTTACATAATGGACAGTAAAACAAAAATTTATGATGCTCTTCCAAAAATTATCACAGAGCGTTCATCAGATTTAATTAATCTTCAAAGTGTGAAGGTGGATGCCGAGTCATCTAAACAGCAGTTGCGAGACCTTCTCGAAACTTATGTGCCAAAGTGTGACAAAGACGACGTCGACAATGAGGTGAATGTATGAGATGTAGTGTGCTGGTGCCTCTTTGAGGCCTGAGTGCAAGTCATATATACCCTTATAGATTTCTAAGATGTGCAAGGGGGTTATGATAATTTCATATCTCGTGACCTGGAAGTGATGGAGATTAACATTTCCAAGTTGAATGACTTGTTTCATCCACCAATCTCCTAGTGGAACAGGGAATGTGAGAAGCACTGCTAGATTGTGTGTATGGTCTGTCACTGCCTTAGGGACTATTATTGACTATGGCCAATAAATTAATTTGCCATTAGGTGTTAGCCATCAAGAAAGGGTGTTCAGAAACTGGGCAGGTCATGGATCTGTTATGTGGAAGAAATGAACTACATCCCTTTCCTCCATTGGATTTGGAATAAAGTTTTAAAGATGTCAGGAATGTACTCCTTGAACCTGCTATCAAATGTCAACTTCATAATACATACATCACAGTAATATTTATATATTTATCTTTAAGTATATAATCTGTCTGTTCATTTACTGATATCTTGTTCTTTCAGAACTCCATAACAGAAAAGTATTTAGGCAGCCCTGTTTAGCCTGGCATTCTAGCCTGATTTTTATTCTAATATTTAAACAATTAATTTTTATACAATGTCGGTTGTCTCCACATGAGTCTAATTCTTTATTTTTTCACTGTACTATTTAAATTAAAAAAAAAATAATTTGTATTGATTAATATGAATATACCTAATATTCATGATATATTTTATGATATATTTTAGGTAAGAAAATACTTCTTGCTGACTGATAAGAAGGCAAGACGAAGACCTCATAAATCCCTTAGGAAAAAAAACATTCCAGGACGAGCACCACATCGAGGGAAAAAACGTTTGACAGGTCGTGAGAGGCGAGAATTGGGACTACATAAGGTTGACCGTTCGAATAAAACTTTCGAAATGTTTTTACCCATAAATGATATTTGGAAGAAATATGCTGAAGCCCTCCTTGGTATTACTCACTTTATGGAGAGTGGCTGGACAGGTGGTGACAGGGACACCAAAACAGAAGCAGTGCAAAACAGAGTTCGAAAAATTGACTATTTTGGTTGTTTCATGCGAGTTACCAAATCAAGGTGTTCAGAATACATAGGCATACAAGGAATTGTCATTAGGGAAACAAAGAATACATTTATGATGATCTGTCCCAATGATAAAGTGAAAATTATTCCCAAATTGCATAGTGAATTTAGTTTTGTTGTAGGTAAAGTTGGTTTTTCTGTCCTTGGTAATCACTTGCATCAGAGGTCAGCAGAAAGAGCAAAGCATAATTTCAAGAAGCTCAGTCTGTGGTTATAATTCATTATTTATTTTTTTTTTTATTATCACACCGGCCGATTCCCACCAAGGCAGGGTGGCCCGAAAAAGAAAAACTTTCACCATCATTCACTCCATCACTGTCTTGCCAGAAGGGTGCTTTACACTACAGTTTTTAAACTGCAACATTAACACCCCTCCTTCAGAGTGCAGGCACTGTACTTCCCATCTCCAGGACTCAAGTCCGGCCTGCCGGTTTCCCTGAATCCCTTCATAAATGTTACTTTGCTCACACTCCAACAGCACGTCAAGTATTAAAAACCATTTGTCTCCATTCACTCCTATCAAACACGCTCACGCATGCCTGCTGGAAGTCCAAGCCCCTCGCACACAAAACCTCCTTTACCCCCTCCCTCCAACCCTTCCTAGGCCGACCCCTACCCCGCCTTCCTTCCACTACAGACTGATACACTCTTGAAGTCATTCTGTTTCGCTCCATTCTCTCTACATGTCCGAACCACCTCAACAACCCTTCCTCAGCCCTCTGGACAACAGTTTTGGTAATCCCGCACCTCCTCCTAACTTCCAAACTACGAATTCTCTGCATTATATTCACACCACACATTGCCCTCAGACATGACATCTCCACTGCCTCCAGCCTTCTCCTCGCTGCAACATTCATCACCCACGCTTCACACCCATATAAGAGCGTTGGTAAAACTATACTCTCATACATTCCCCTCTTTGCCTCCAAGGACAAAGTTCTTTGTCTCCACAGACTCCTAAGTGCACCACTCACTCTTTTTCCCTCATCAATTCTATGATTCACCTCATCTTTCATAGACCCATCTGCTGACACGTCCACTCCCAAATATCTGAATACGTTCACCTCCTCCATACTCTCTCCCTCCAATCTGATATTCAATCTTTCATCACCTAATCTTTTTGTTATCCTCATAACCTTACTCTTTCCTGTATTCACCTTTAATTTTCTTCTTTTGCACACCCTACCAAATTCATCCACCAATCTCTGCAACTTCTCTTCAGAATCTCCCAAGAGCACAGTGTCATCAGCAAAGAGCAGCTGTGACAACTCCCACTTTGTGTGTGATTCTTTATCTTTTAACTCCACGCCTCTTGCCAAGACCCTCGCATTTACTTCTCTTACAACCCCATCTATAATATATTAAACAACCACGGTGACATCACACATCCTTGTCTAAGGCCTACTTTTACTGGGAAAAAATTTCCCTCTTTCCTACATACTCTAACTTGAGCCTCACTATCCTCGTAAAAACTCTTCACTGCTTTCAGTAACCTACCTCCTACACCATACACTTGCAACATCTGCCACATTGCCCCCCTATCCACCCTGTCATACGCCTTTTCCAAATCCATAAATGCCACAAAGACCTCTTTAGCCTTATCTAAATACTGTTCACTTATATGTTTCACTGTAAACACCTGGTCCACACACCCCCTACCTTTCCTAAAGCCTCCTTGTTCATCTGCTATCCTATTCTCCGTCTTACTCTTAATTCTTTCAATTATAACTCTACCATACACTTTACCAGGTACACTCAACAGACTTATCCCCCTATAATTTTTGCACTCTCTTTTATCCCCTTTGCCTTTATACAAAGGAACTATGCATGCTCTCTGCCAATCCCTAGGTACCTTACCTTCTTCCATACATTTATTAAATAATTGCACCAACCACTCCAAAACTATATCCCCACCTGCTTTTAACATTTCTATCTTTATCCCATCAATCCTGGCTGCCTTACCCCCTTTCATTTTACCTACTGCCTCACGAACTTCCCCCACACTCACAACTGGCTCTTCCTCACTCCTACAAGATGTTATTCCTCCTTGCCCTATACACGAAATCACAGCTTCCCTATCTTCATCAACATTTAACAATTCCTCAAAATATTCCTTCCATCTTCCCAATACCTCTAACTCTCCATTTAATAACTCTCCTCTCCTATTTTTAACTGACAAATCCATTTGTTCTCTAGGCTTTCTTAACTTGTTAATCTCACTCCAAAACTTTTTCTTATTTTCAACAAAATTTGTTGATAACATCTCACCCACTCTCTCATTTGCTCTCTTTTTACATTGCTTCACCACTCTCTTAACTTCTCTCTTTTTCTCCATATACTCTTCCCTCCTTGCATCACTTCTACTTTGTAAAAACTTCTCATATGCTAACTTTTTCTCCCTTACTACTCTCTTTACATCATCATTCCACCAATCGCTCCTCTTCCCTCCTGCACCCACTTTCCTGTAACACAAAACTTCTGCTGAACACTCTAACACTACATTTTTAAACCTACCCCATACCTCTTCGACCCCATTGCCTATGCTCTCATTAGCCCATCTATCCTCCAATAGCTGTTTATATCTTACCCTAACTGCCTCCTCTTTTAGTTTATAAACCTTCACCTCTCTCTTCCCTGATGCTTCTATTCTCCTTGTATCCCATCTACCTTTTACTCTCAGTGTAGCTACAACTAGAAAGTGATCTGATATATCTGTGGCCCCTCTATAAACATGTACATCCTGAAGTCTACTCAACAGTCTTTTATCTACCAATACATAATCCAACAAACTACTGTCATTTCGCCCTACATCATATCGTGTATACTTATTTATCCTCTTTTTCTTAAAATATGTATTACCTATAACTAAACCCCTTTCTATACAAAGTTCAATCAAAGGGCTCCCATTATCATTTACACCTGGCACCCCAAACTTACCTACCACACCCTCTCTAAAAGTTTCTCCTACTTTAGCATTCAAGTCCCCTACCACAATTACTCTCTCACTTGGTTCAAAGGCTCCTATACATTCACTTAACATCTCCCAAAATCTCTCTCTCTCCTCTGCATTCCTCTCTTCTCCAGGTGCATACACGCTTATTATGACCCACTTCTCGCATCCAACCTTTACTTTAATCCACATAATTCTTGAGTTTACACATTCATATTCTCTTTTCTCCTTCCATAACTGATCATTTAACATTACTGCTACCCCTTCCTTTGCTCTAACTCTCTCAGATACTCCAGATTTAATCCCATTTATTTCCCCCCACTGAAACTCTCCTACCCCCTTCAGCTTTGTTTCGCTTAGGGCCAGGACATCCAACTTCTTTTCATTCATAACATCAGCAATCATCTGTTTCTTGTCATCCGCACTACATCCACGCACATTTAAGCAACCCAGTTTTATAAAGTTTTTCTTCTTCTCTTTTTTAGTAATTGTATACAGGAGAAGGGGTTACTAGCCCATTGCTCCCGGCATTTTAGTCGCCTCATACGACACGCATGGCTTACGGAGGAAAGATTCTTTTCCACTTCCCCATGGACAATAGAAGAAATAAAAAAGAACAAGAGCTATTTAGAAAAAGGAGAAAAACCTAGATGTATGTATATATATATATGCATGTGCGTGTCTGTGAAGTGTGACCAAAGTGTAAGTAGGAGTAGCAAGATATCCCTGTTATCTTAGCGTGTTTATGAGACAGAAAAAGAAACCAGCAATCCTACCATCATGCAAAACAGTTACAGGTTTTTGTTTCACAGTCATCTGGCAGGACGGTAGTACTTCCCTGGGTGGTTGCTGTCTACCAACCTACTACCTATAATTCATTATTATTATTATTATTATTATTATTATTATTATTATTTTATTATTATTATTATTATTATATTTTTATTGAAATGACAAGTCCATATGGGTCAAAAAACTCTTGGAGATTGGGAGGTAATCAGATTCGATCTAGGGTAGGAGATGGTTATGAAAAATTGCAATATCTTGTTTTGTTTTTAATCTTAAAGTGTATTATAGTATGTTTAATAATAAAACAAAACAGGTGTTCATTAAAGATGAGAAATAAGGCATCCCATTATTTCTGTACAGTAGTACCCCAAGTTTCGTACAGTTCCCAACTCAAACAATTATGTAAGTGTATTATTGTAAATGCTTTTGTAAATGTATTTTTGGGAAGCTGAAATGGGCTAATTTAATTTACATTATTCCTTATGGGAACAGATTCGATCAATAATGGCACTCGAACAGCCTTCTGGAACGAAGTATGTACAAAACTCAGGGTACCACTGTATTTTCATTATCTAAAATATCAATGGCAGAATATTGTCATTAAAGTTTCTTAAGAATATTGTCATTAAAGTTTCTTGAACTGTACTTTAGTCTTTTTTTTTATCATACAAAGGTGGATGTATTGAGGAAAGAATAAAAACAGAAAGGAAAAAAGGGCTATAGTTGGTATTATTAATCAGTATCAGTTAAGAAATCATAATCTGCATTAAAAGTGGGAAAGAATCTGCACTAAAGTGGGAATGTCAAAGAGAAGGACAGACAGAGTAAGCAAGTTAAGATTTTTGAAGGCATCAAGTGAAACTGGTGTGCTTTTGAATAAATAAAGCAATTGAGCTATTGATGTCATGCTAAATTTCTCTAAATACAGGTATTTTTTGTATCGGTTGTCCATTAGTTATGACCTGAGAACTTGCAGAGTGGCACCATACTTGGAGTATACCTGGAGAGGGTTTCAGGGATTAAGTTCCCCCCAGCTCAGTCTGTGACAAGACTTTGTGGTGGCATCAGAGCCTGATCAACCAAGCTGTTACTTTGGTCACATGCAAACCGATGTATGAACCACAGCCTGGCTGGTCAGGTACTGACTTTGGGCACCCATCCAGTGCCTTCTTGAAGACAGCCAGGGGCCTACTTGTAATCCCCCTTATGTATGCTGTGAGGCAGTTGAAGTCTTAAGCCCCTTACACTTGTTGTATTGTCTCTTAATGTACATGTGGCTCCCTTGCTTTTCATTGGGAGGATGTTGCATCTCCTGCCCAGTCGTTTGCTTTCATATGGAGTGATTTTTGTGTGCAAATTTGGGACTAGTCCCTCTAGGATATTCTAAGTGTATATTATCATGCATCTTTCTTGAATGCCTTCCAAGGAATACAAATCAAGGGACTTCAACCGTTCCCAGTAATTTAGGTGCTTTATCATACTTATACATACCATGAAAGTTAGTGTGCAGTAATATTCCAGCCTAGAAAGAACAAGCAATTTAAAGAGAATCATCATGGGCTTGGCATCCCTACTTTTGAAGGTTCTCATTATCCTGTGGTGGATATCACTCCACTCAATGGACATTTGACTAT